ACAGTTACTTTCCATTGTCACTGTAAGTTATATTTTATCATTATGTTGATTATTACTTTCTTTTAATTTGTGTCCTCTTAATTTTTCTGACTGACTCCAGTATGTTGTATGAGCGCTGTTTGCTGGGCTTCAGTATCCTGTCCCCTGTCGCTTGGCCTGTATTAAACTGCATTAAAACTCTATATTTATAACTCTTTTTTTGTTGATACAAATGTGTGTAGGCGAGGATGTTGAGTTTGCTGCATTCTTTTCAGGAATTGTCTCTGCCATGTTGCTGCTAACCGATGCCTAGCTTAACTGCTAAACTGTTTTTTTTGTCTTTGGTAATTTTTTAGGAGCATGAAGTCAACGAACAAGATACATGTTAATGAGTAAGCTTAAGAGGTGCTAGTATTCATATTCTGATTCCTTTAGACTTAACCAAGCTAGCGGCCTCCCTGTGTTTTCAGTCTTTATGCTAAACTAGGATAAACTAAGATATATTGTAACTATTCCTTTAAGTCGGACTTTTAAAGTTGTTACACAATTCAGAATTAACTTCAACATGAGTCCCCCCTTTTCACAGCTACTGGTAACAGAATGTTATAAAAGCAAGCAGTATTTTCCAGTCTCTGAGGGGACACGAGTGGTCGGAGAGTTCAGGTTGAGGGTAAGGTCCAGCTCAGTCTGTGGAACGCTACATGGCCGCTGGTTCCTGAATATCACGCACACATGATGTACTTTACCCTTTTTTATTTCAGCCAGTTTCCAAATGTTCCAGTCTGTGCACCCACCAGGCCATGAAGTGAGGAGCTAGAGGTCGTGAGAGGTCAGTGAAGAAACCGAAAAAGCAGCCAAGCACACCTTGAGCCAACATCAGTAACTTACGTTCCTGAAGATAATGTTCTCAAATGATCCAGAGAACAGGTTGACGCTGGCCTGATCCAGACTCAGAGATTGATCATAAACAGACCAATTAATTAATGAAAACCATTTTATTCAGTATTTTGCAGATAAGAAATTAGAAAACAAAACATTTCTAACTCGAGATCTATAGGCTTCTGAGTTTTTTTGCATGGATGTTGATATTTGTTAAGGCTTTTATCTAAACTCCATTTCAGTATTTTCATGTTTTCCTGTCCGGGCATGGCAGAAACAATTATTATTGAGGCCTTCAGTGCAGCAGGTGTGAAATAGATAAATATAAAGCATTACATCTTAAGCAGTAATAGAGGTCATTCTTGAGCTTGGAAACTTTAAGTCTCAACCTTTGACTAACATGGGCCAAAAATCCACAAATGTGACATTTAAGGACCTTGGGGTGTTTAATTTACAATCTCAAAGATCTCCATGTTGATCTCTTTGGGTTCCAGTTAGGGTAAGGGATGGATTTCATCGTACCATTGTGTACTTAAAAATCCTTAATTTTACACGTTCTGCGTCCGTGGAGAGCTGTGGCCTCATAGATGTGGACGCAGTTGAGGGCCTGCGTTGTGCTGGCACTTCACTTATGCCCACTTCCAGATACAAACCCTTTTCCAGTCAATGATCTTATTGTTATGTTGTTTGAGAGGGAATCAACACCATTTGTCTGTCTTTGTATTCAACTGGAGCCCTGTTTTGTGGGGTCCAAACCACAACGTTGTAGGCGAGGACAGACATCCATCTGTGTCCTTTTGAGGGTCTTTTTGTTACAGGATCCAGGAAATTAGGCACTCACGGCAGAAATTTGCTGTTGAAAATGTAAACACGGGCTCTTTCTGTTTGGGTGCCGTGAATCGTTTTGATTCACGGCACCCAAACAGAAAGAGCTCAGGGACAGGCATTAAGTAAAACAGATGGAATTAGCCAATCTTCTCTTCGATCGACTTGTTTGCTTTCATGTAGGTCATATGAAGGGCATCAGTGTTATTGAGACAACCTTGAGACTCTTTGTGGTAACTTTAAAGTAATTGCTGTGTTGGTCTCTGCCTGACTCATCTGCTCAGGTCTGTCTCTACGGACAGGTGTAGTAACAGGCACCAGTTCCAGTCCCGGATGGTCCCTGTCCCCCCAGTTACCCTAACGCATGTGTCATAGATCTGCGTGTTCCACATAGCGCTTCAGTGCTCAGGTCTCTTTCACAACAGATGTGACGGTCTGTCTCCTGGATAAACACTTTTTTGCTGCTTGTTATTATTTGTTGTTAATGGTTGACACATATTAAATGGAAACATGTGAAAGTGCCAAGAAATTGTACGCCAAAGTGTTGCCGGCCAGAGATGACAAGGTGTGTGTGTATGTGTGTGTGTGTGTGTGTGTGTGTGTGTGTGTGTGTGTGTGTGTGTACTTATCAGATAACACATTATTTTATGTTTATGATTTTTAATTGCCATAACATCCATGTCTTTGTATAAATTGGTTCAATGAATTGACACTACTGTCATGAAATCTATTTTTTTGCTTCACATGAATTTCACATAAGGTCTTTCATCTACTTTTCCCAATACATCTTCAGTTTGAAACCAATATCCAACTTTTACTTTAACCGTCCGTTCCACTGTGATTGTGGGAAAAAGGTTTAGTGTCAGACATCAACTTGTCCCCTTTGTTGTCGTATTAGGACAAATCAATCTCTCGGATTTAAAAACGAACACATGAGTCATTAACTTGTCACCTTAAGATGACGGAGCTGCAGACACAATTTATCTGTTTCCACTGGGTTATTACTGTAGCTGTGGCACTTTACACAACGGAGCGAAGTGCAGCTTAGGTGTGTAACTCAGGGAAACTTTACACAAGAATAGTAGCTGGAGATAAGAGTGTAATCTGTTTAATGACACCAACCACACCGAAAACTGAAGCGGATCTTTAGATTGAAGAAAAACAGTTTGAAGATGTATTTCGGGAAAACAAAAAAGTACCTTAAATAAGACTTCATTGTAATAATATCATTAACTTTCTTACAGAGAATGGTCTCCTGGACAGAGCAATGGGTTGTTAATTGAACTTCTATCTCTTCCTCAATTTTGTATTTAGAAAATGTTTATGACATTTTTATATTCAGACAACCATAAGCATTGTCTGCCTCACAACACATTAGCTCTGTTGCTAATAGGTTTAGGGAATCCTGTGTATTACTAATGATCAACCACGTTGATACTATACTGAAAGATTACACGTCTAACCAATAATTGGCTAAGTATCTTGTTGTAAACCATCATGCAGAGGAGGTCAGTGGCTCCTGGTCGTTTTTTGTCAAGTGAAAATTGTCTTTCTCTTCAATGGATAGGGAAATTAAGAAACTACACAATTTGCTTTTGGAAAATGTCGTAATTTGTAACCTGACTGGCACACATGCCATTTTGTTGATCTCATAATATCAGTAGGTCGTCAGAATCTCCATATTATTACCTTAATATAATATGAGATTTCCATTATAGAGACATTATAAACTACATTTTTAAGCATATGTTAAGCGTTCAGAAATCACAGTATAATCTAAAGGGATTTGAAGTCTCATCTCGCATGCATATAAGCATTTTAATGAGGGTGAAAGTCAATCTGAAGGGTGTTTAAGCAGTATCGTCCTCAGGTCACCTGTAAAGTTCATGCAACTTTAGTATGCTATTTCCCCCTAGTTTAAAGGAACTGTAAACAACTGTCTTTTAATGCTATTTGGTGATTTGTATTTATTTATCTGTGTCACGTGTGATAAAAACACACTGTTCTACACAAGGATAGACCCCCAGATCATAAAAAGGTGAAACATACCAACACTTCACGTTGTACAAAGCAACTCTTAGCTTTGGTTTCATTTATGGTTCTTTTTTTTTCATTAGAAACAAAATAAAATACTATTATGTTTTCATTCATTATACAGTTTGTTTAATATAGATATATGTTTTTTCTTCGTCTGTGAACAACGATGTCTGTCTAGACTAGAGTTAACTTGAGTTAAACAAGGGTCATTTTTAATTAATAGCCAATTGTGAAGTCTAAACATAATTCAAATAACAATCTCAAATATTAAAAATAAATCAATAATATTAAACTTTATTCACGCATTTGATCCCACTTTCAGGACTTCTTCTGCCAATATTTCCAGATGACTTTATACCGACTACTTTTAACGATAAAACATAATGTAATATCTGCAACAAAATAAGATAAATAAAGTTGAAAAGCACATGTGAATGAAATTTCACTTTAAAGTCAGACTGGACACCAGCATTGGCTACACCTGCTCTGTGAGTTCACCCTCAGTCCGTCTTTGTTTCAGAGGTAGCCTAACCTACAACTAAAGGAAGATAAACAGCTAAACAGCTTTATTATTGTTTTATTTAAAGAACTTTCACGAGGAAACAAAGGTGAAAAGGTCCCTAATAACATCACTCTGCACTTATTAATGATTAAGTGTTTGTTTAACTCCTGAGTAAATTGAAGTGTTATTGCTATTTTCTAAATTTGCAAAGTGAAATAAACCTCATTCGTTTCATTTAGCAATTTAAGGGACCAACATAGTTTATATGGTCGTGTCATTGTGTGCAGATAAGAGACAATTGAGGCAATTAAAAATGTTTAAAAGGGATTTCTGTCCCACGTTTTCAAGGTTTAAAACTTAAGAGTTTGCCTACATGATGTTTTAAGTTGAAAACGAATAAAATATTGTATTATTATTGTAATTTTGAAAATAGAGATCTAATGAGATTATAAATCTTTATTAAAGGAAACAAACATCTGAATTAATGAGGACAGCAACAGTTTATTAACATGTATCACTGAGGACACTTACAATATTCCGAACTAATAATATAAAATAAGGAAGGAAATATAAATAGTATAGGCTATTGCTTGTATGCCTACTGCTCGCAGAGCTATTTCAAGGCATTATTTAAAAAGAACTAACTTCATCAGCGGTGTGAATATGTGCAGCTCGCCTTCTTAAAAGTCTCTATGCCGTATACAACAGGGTCCAAAGTCCATGAAAGTTTTGCTGATAAGGGCAGCCAATAAAAGCAGCAGTGCAGCAGTGTAAACACATGTCTACCTCGGCCCAGAGCGGGCCTTATTCACTGGATTTACATAAGGCTCCCATCAGCCGGCCCACTCATTACCACGTTTTATATCCCCCTGCATGCACTCAAGCATCATGACAAAGTAGCTCCATCCTCCCCTCCAACAGGGAAGTGAAGCAGCTTCTCGGAGCAGGTGTCAGGAGCCGCAAACTCACACAACACTGGAGCAGAGAGGAACTTTATTTTGTAGCTTTATTTTTTTTGTAATATCCCACTTTAACCTCCCCTTTTCACTCTGCTGCAGCGCGCTCACAGCAGGCCTATGTTGTGTTTTTAATGTTCTCTAAAATGGTATCCAAGCTGACATCCCTGCAGCACGAGCTCCTCAGCGCCCTGCTGGACTCGGGAGTAACCAGAGATGTTCTGATCCAGGCCCTGGATGATTTGGACCCCAGCCCGCCGGGCTTCGGAGTAAAACTGGAGAACCTGCCCATTTCCCCAGCTCCTCCGCAGAGCGGCAAGATGAGCGGGACGGACTCCGACTCCAAGCCCGTCTTCCACACGCTCACCAACGGACACAGCAAGGGCAAACTGTCCGGGGACGAGGGCTCCGACGACGGGGACGACTTCGACACCCCGCCGATCCTAAAGGAGCTCCAGTCGCTCAACACCGAGGAGGCTGCGGAGCAGAGGGCCGAGTTGGATCGCATGTTGGCGTAAGTTTTCCTAGCCTACTTTATATAACTTTTTTAAAAACTTTTTTTAAATAGTTAAAATTAAGTTAAATCGCACTTTGAAGGGTGTCACGAGGAAGTGAAAATATGCGCATATTCAGGGTTATTGTGTTTATTTATAACACACTCAAAATGCTCTTTCTGTTAACTTTGTTAATGTTAGGAAAGAAGGCCTGTTTAAATAGCCTACATGTAGGCCTATAGGCAATAGCAAATGCATTTCCCTTCTGTGTTTACATTTTTAAAATAACCCGCCGTGGTTCTGTTTTCCATTCTGGTTACTAATTACCCACACGGATTATTATTTCTTTACCTTTGCAAAATATCAGCTGAACTGAGATCTAGGCTATTTATTATTAACTATACTCCACCTCTCAACGATAAAAATAAATCCGGCAATGGTCGACAGACACGAAGAGAAAGTGAATGCACGTCTGTCTGACATTTAGAATAACACATAGGCCTAGGCCTATTATAAATAATTATTATCATTATTATATAAATAACATAACATACAAAACTTCTTAATCATACTTATAATAATACTAATTACAATATGAATACAATTTATGAATAGCATAATAATAATACACATTATGAATAGCATTATAATATTTACAATAATATTAATTATATCTTTTATTTTTTCCCTATTATGCCAGTAAACAAAAACATCCCAAACAAATCGTAATCCATTTATTCCAATCCGAGTTTTTGGATTTACTGTAAAACTAATATTTAAAGCTCTAACACGACCGGAAGAATATCAAAACTAACCCACGTGTAGTTATTATTAATTGTATTCTATAAATCATCAACGGAAAGATACACAGTGGCATGTGATTAGAGTGAATGGAGATCTGGTTATTCATTGTCAAAAGTTATAAACTAACATCTCCCACTTAACCCGCAGATTTATGTAGGCCTCCACATTCTCCAAAACAAACAGGCGTGTTAGATTTGCTATAATTACCGATGTCAGTGTCTGGGCCTGCTAATCTCGTATTGTAGGTCATGGCTCCGTTTTACCTCAGAATTGTTTTTGATAGACCTAAATACTGCTGCAGAAATTAGACGTTTTATGAGTAGGCTTTTGTCAATCGCTGTTTCTAGAGGTAAGAACACGATTTGATGCTAAATTCATTTTTGGAATCAAAGATTGTAATAATTCACATGCACTAAAAAACGAAATAATGTATTGAGTTTAACTGAACGTCGCTTTTTTATAAGATTAAAAGATTAAATATATCTAATTTTACACGTTCGACTATATCTTCAAGTTATCCTGACTCCAATGTATTTTTGATTAACAATTACAAACATTTGATCATAGAAGGAAGTGAGTAAACATTATAATATAAATATTAACTCAAATGTATGACTTAGCCTAATATTGTTATCAAGTTTTTCCAATACAGACATTTTACAAGTATATTTATAACTGAGTATATCAGAATTTCTTGTCAACCTAAGTTTGATTCATGTTGTAGCTGTTGTTTTTTTTAGATTTGTACAGTTCATGCTTGCTTTAAATTCACACAAACTTAATCTAGTTTTTTCCCAGGTTTACATTATGTGTTTAGGTGACAAATACTAAGTCCAAGTTCCTCAACCTGCCTGAATCCACTTGAACTAACCTTTGAAAATATTTACAGCCTATTGAACGGGCTATAGTGATAAACGGGTTGTCAGTGAGAGGACTTGTTACCCTTTAAACTTGAAGCCTTGAAAAACATTTAGGTGAAGGAACATGTGTTTAATACTTCCACATTTGTAGATTTTGTAAAATATATACATAAACAACATTTAATGCCTACGATCATTACCATAACATTTTCTTTCCCCTTACATGAAGCATTTCACCATGTATTTATATTAATTTAAGACCAGAACTTTATGTCAGCCAAATAAATGTGAAATGTGAAGCTGGTTTTGCCCTCTAAAGACTGCAGTATAGTTCAGTGGTGAAATGTGTTTTCTGCTCCTGTTTTATCTGAACGCAGAGAGGATCCATGGCGTGCTGCCCGCATGATCAAAGGTTACATGCAGCAGCACAACATCCCCCAACGGGAGGTTGTGGACGTCACAGGGCTCAACCAGTCTCACCTCTCCCAGCACCTCAACAAAGGCACGCCCATGAAAACAACGAAGCGAGCCGCCCTCTACACCTGGTATGTCAGGAAACAGCGGGAAATTCTCCAACGTAAGTTAATATTTGAGTTTCTCACAGATTGGCCCCGTCCTGTAATGTGTAGTTAGCAACATCACAGTGCTTTTTTGGGGTTTCAATATCATGGTGGGTTCGACATGTCCTCACCATGTAGGATGACATATACATTCCCCTACAGCAATTTTAGTCATAATTCATCATAGCGAGAAATATATTGTTTATTTGATAGAAAATACCTCTATCATGTGGGTAAACGTTTTACAGATATGCATTTTGGTTTTGTGATTTTGCATTGAAAGAAAGCATTTTGAAATGAGTTGTATTGAATGTACATCTTTTTGTTTTTGCAGAGTTCAACCAGGCAGTGCACAGCTCTGGCTGCAACATGACAGATAAAGACAATCAGGATCCGATGTTTTTTTTCCCAGAGTACAACCCGTCTGGTCAGGGCATGGGTCAGACTGGTGAAGAGGTCGGAAGCGAACCCTCCTGTAAGAAAATGAGACGTAATCGTTTCAAGTGGGGGCCTGCGTCCCAGCAAATCCTGTACCAGGCCTACGAACGGCAGAAGAACCCCAGCAAGGAGGAGCGGGAAGCTTTAGTAGAAGAGTGCAACAGGTACATTTAAAACAACAACTTCCTATACCTTCCTAGAAATATTTGACCGAAACAACATTAACCCTCATTTTTGATTTTCCTTATTTATTTGATATCTGCAGAGCTGAGTGTCTTCAGAGAGGCGTCTCCCCCTCCAAAGCTCAGGGCCTCGGCTCAAATCTGGTCACTGAAGTGCGAGTCTACAACTGGTTCGCCAACCGGCGTAAAGAGGAAGCCTTCAGGCAGAAGTTGGCCATGGACTCCATCACCTTACCGTCCCACAGCATGAACTCTCTGCTGTCACACAGCTCGCCACATCATCCCCACAACAGCGCTTCACCTCCCAGTAAGATGACAGTTGACTTTACTTTGCATGCAGTTCAGCATCACAGAAAGCAGAGAAGATGTGTCATGATAACTGATTTGTCTTTTTACTCCATAATTTTAGCATTGCACATCTTTAACATTGTCAGACAGTTTAAAATAAAAGGTCACACAATTGATACAGCATAAATGGAGATATTGTCTTACTTATTCAGCAATATCTTGGTCTTGTTAAAACCTTGTACCTACATTATTACACACAATACTTTCCAAGACTTGTTAACATATGTTGAGGTCAGTGGGGTTCTCCCTTAACTGTCATGTCTGCAGATTCATCATCTGCATTCATCATTCATTCACAAAAAGACCATATGACTAGAGACAGAATACGCATTAAGAACGTTTCATTTACAGTATTTACGCCTACATTTTAGATAATAGTGCAAATAAATACATGATTTAGTGTCTTTGGTGTGAAAACGCTGTCAGAAATGGTCAGAAGCACAGTTGATGTGATCAGAGGGGCAGAGAAACAGGGGAGAAGTGATCAATGAGCGTGAGTGAGTGAGCTGAGCAAATGCCATTGTTATTCTGATCTTTGAAAACACACTGAGAACAATCCACATTGTACCTGCAATCTCCACTCCAAAGTCAGCATGGAGAAGCATGTCACAAAGGGCAGCAATCCTGTGACAGGCCAGGGTCAGGCCAGGGTCAGGGGGGGGGACAGACACATCCAGATTACTTCGACATAACGCCGTCATTTCCACATTTCCTCCTCCCATGCAGGTTGCTAATGACTCCGCTCAAAGAGTCTCCACAACAAGGAAATGCTGTGCGTTTTGGCCCTGACCATTTCACCCTCACCTGATGTTTGCATTCGGAGTAATTAGTATTGACTGAGTCTACCTGTGTATACGACATAAAAACAAAGCTGATAGGCCTCACAGAGCATTATCCTCCGTGCCATCACTCACCTCCATAAAACTGTGATTTGAGAGTCTCACTCAGAGCCTATTGTTGTCCTCTCGTGTTCGAACACGAGGCGAGCTGTGAAGGGAAAACAAATTGTTTGCCTTGGCTTGCTCTTTTACCTTTGGTGATTGTCTGTTTGCTTGAGTTTTTTTTTGTTGATGCTCAGAACACCTGACCAGGCATTGACCTCAGGTTGCCAAGCCAGAGGGGTCAGCGATAAGGTTGTAGAAGGGAAGACTCGGTGCATTGCGAAACATACTCTGCGCCCCCCCTGAAAAAAACCCTCAGCTGGCTGCTTACAAGGTGTCCTGCTGGCATCCTGCCGACAGCATCAGCTGTTTTTCAGTGTCAGCCCCTGGCCTGACAATAATATCCCAGCAGGGCATCTCATTGCGTTGCTAGGGCACGGCCTGTATTATGCATGCTTAATGGACAATTAAAATCCTTTGCTACTACATCTCCCAGGCCTTTGATAAGGGTCTCCTCTGACTTCAACTCTCTATACTCTCCCTCAGCAGGCGGTCCCATTGTCTGTGGTGTATTAGAAGACTGCAGTGACTGTAACCTAGGTTCATTTATCTCTGCTGGGCCTTGAGGAGGACTGATTTGAAAGCCTCCCCCCTCATCTTTATGGGCATTGGTATAGTTGCTGAGGCTGGGTGCAGACTTGGAGCAGCAGGAGCTGTCCACTGAGGAATGGGCTCTTTTCTGGCCAGACAGGACTGATGACCCCTTCTGCGCCTACAGAGAAAGCTATAGTCCCCCCCTCCCTAAACCGCCGCTGCACCTTCAGTCACACAAGAGAGGTCACTGCTGGGTCAGATCAAAGAAACTCCTCGTACTTTGGGAGTTTTTATTGATTCTGTTTCAGCTCGTTGATCAGTCGGTCACAACTGAATGGACAGTCAAACACTGTGATGTGCAGTTTTGGCGGTGGCTTTTTTACCTTCAGAAATGAAACTGATTTCAGGCAAGATTACATTTGTTGGCAGTTCTATGAGCACACGCACCTGTGTTTTCTTATTTAATATTTACCTACTGTTCATCCACTTATATTGTTTACTGAGATCACGTAATCAATCTAATTTATGACATTTGACTTCAAAGCATTAATTCCCCAAACAAGTTAGTTAATCCATACATTTGTTGGCCAATTTATTAGTTTGATTTTCTCATTTAATTCGTTTTTAAACAAACTGTTGTTTGCAATGGTGGTAGTACATTAATACCAAACGATCTCCATTGTATGTTAACTTATAGTTTTACTCCTATATATTTTGGAGGGACATTATTGACATTTTACTTCCCTTTAATTGATTTAAAATCATCTAAATATTTATTTTCCTTTTTTCAGAAAATGATATCATAATTACAAAAATTACAGTGCATGTAAAGGATTTGTTCCTAATGATTTAGCTTTACAAAAAGCAGGTTTTGGTTGGGGCCATGTTCCCCAAAGAGCAATTTCACCTCTAAAAGTCTTTACAATCAAACCCAAAAGTGATACAACTCAAATACCTTACAAAAAGCACAGATTATAAAAAAAAATGTTTTCCTGTTCCTGCCTCATTAATCATCTCATAACTCCTCAGATATATTTTGTGACCATTTGAAGGGAACTAACCACTTTGGAAACCTCTGCACTAAACTTCTCACTGTATATAAAGTAGACAAAACTAGGTACAGCAGTCAGATGCTGCCTAGACATTGGAACATTAGTAAGAATCGCATAATGTAAAATATTATACTTATGACATAGGGGCCGTTTTTCTGCTTGACAAGTACTTTAACTTTTATAATACTTATGTCCATGTGCATATGGATGCAGGATTTTTACTTGTAATTTTGTATTTTTAGATGATTACTTGGCAGCTAGAGTCACCATTACACTGAATCATCGTTCTGCATGTTAAAAAACAAGCAGACTCAGAAGTTCCTGATCAGACACAGTACGGGGGGTCTTATCCGTAGGTTGCATTGCTTTCCGTCACCTCAGGCCGGTTCGAAACATCACACACACACAGGAAAAAGGATGGCCTAGCTCTGCACTTTCCACTGCTCTGTTCTCCCAGAGAGCCACAAAGAAGAGCCTGGATACGTCCTGCAGAGACCCAGGAGGTCTGTCATATGCAGCGGTACTACAATGAGCACTGCCTGGGGTTGGAGAGGCAGGCTTTGATATTACATGGGTCACACAGGGAGCTAGAGCCTTTTAAACCTGCTGAAGATCCGTGCTACCACTCCCCTTCGGAAGTTCTCGCCCTCCCCCCTGCTCTCGAAAAAGACCCTTCAGTTTTTCATGGATTGTCACATCTTGCCAGAGCAGTTCTTTAGCTTTTGCAGAATCTATAAGTTACAGTTTTATTTGGTGGTTAGTCACTTAATCTGTGTTTGTAGAAAACCTTTATTTTACATTAGCTTTCTAGTAACTGAGAGTCTCTTAGTGAAGATCGTGGAAGTCTTTCTACTTACTATGAGACTCCCTGCAGCTAGAATTACTGCTGCACCCAAAGAAACAAAACTGTCCTGAATAGCATCCTTTTCTCCCTCTGACACTTTAAGAGGTCGCCCAGCTCAGAGATAACTGCCTTTTTATGAGTCCTCCTCTATTGTGTGGCAATGGGGGTCATGAGTCCAATGGAGTGCTTTATTGTTCTGCGGCGGTGTTTACAAGGCACGGTGGAGTGTAGTGGGGTTGCTAGTATGTTGCAGAAGACAATATGAAGTCTGTGGGCTGAACAAAATGGAGGGCAGTTATAGGATGAAATATGGCTCTTTGGCTTCAGACGGCGCGTTATCTGTTTTTTAAGTGTCTGTAGTTAAAAGAATAGTACCAGGGAGACTGTTTCCTCCCATTTCCAGTCTTTACGCTAAGCTAAGCTAGCCAGCTACTGGTTGTAACTTTTTTATTAAGGGCATAGGAGTGACTGTGATATCACTGTTTGCAGCATGTATTTCCCAGTTCTCAAACTATTGATTTGAATATAGAGCATCTGATTATCATGAATCCGTACACATCCAACTTCTTAAAGAATTGCACGATTTTTACGATGAAAAATCATTTGTTTTCCTCACACGGAGCAAACACATCCTGTTCAGTTTCGAGTCCTGACAAGAAATCAATGCCCCCGTCATTGGTCACATTTAGTGTCAGCGCCTCTCCCTCCGTTTTATCTCAGAATGGCTGTATATCAATGCCTCCTGTCATGTCTGAGCGACCCCGACAGGGCGTTCAGGCTGTCACACCTGGGTCAGGGACGGAGGGCTCGGGCAAGATGGGAGATCTGAGTGCAAACAGAGTCTGTCTCTACACTGTCACTGGTCTCTACACTGTCACTGAGGGAAGGACGCTCTCTGTGTCTGTGTGAGTCTGAGACCACAGGATAAGAATGTGTTTGACATTGCTTGTAATTGTGTAATGTTTACTCTGTTGGTATCAGAGGGGGCCTGCATCGGCAAACAGGAATTTGATTGTCGGTTGTGGTGGGGTGAAGCATTCCTTTGGGCCTCCAGTGAGAGACAACAAGAGGTCTTTTTTTTGTTTCAGGTCTACACATGAGATTTTGTGATAGCCCTTAAAAGAAGAATTACATACATCACTGTGAACATATATAAGGTGTACTGAACTTCTGTACTTAAGTAACATTTTTAGGACTTTATTGATGACAAGTAAACATATTTTTCTCTTTTTGAACTGACAGGTTTAGTTTTTAGTTACTTTCACATCTTTCCATAGATTTAACACATTCGAAATTCTCTGATTGTTTAATTTAGTCTTAAGATGGTAAAACCAAGGTTTGAGAAATGTATTAAGGGGAACCACATTTTATTTTCTGTTCAACTAAATTAATCACCATAGTGAAAATGTGCTCACACATTGATCCATTAGTATTTAACATCTGACAGTGTAACACACAATAATATAAAATATAACTCTAACCTCTACTTCTACATTTGCTTGATGATACTAGTGAAACTCCACACTGACGTAATTACGAACACCATCAGTAGCATGTGTGTGCTGATCAGAGAGACTGTTGTGAGTGAGGGAACGCAGTGAATGGCCTTGGCTGAGCTACACAGATAGCAGCAGACAGGTCGCTGTGTTTGTTTGCTCTGTCCTCCCCTGTCTGAGTTAAAGAGCAGGTTGATTGGAGTGACAGTGGAGTTTCTAGGCACAGAATGAGGCTACTATCTCTCTGCCTACATCAGTAATATAGCTGTAGGACCAAGCAGCTGTTATAGTTGTAGGACAGGACAAGTGAAACTAACTGTGTGTCTCTCTCTCAGTGCGTTACAGCCAAGGCCCCGGTGAGGTCACCTCCTCCACGACCATCAGTCACCACAGCAGCAACGGGATGGCCACCAGCCAATCGGTGCTCCAGCAGGTGTCTCCAGGAGGACTGGACCACAGCCACAGTCTGCTGTCACCTGACGCCAAGATGGTGAGTGAACACACCTGGGCCCTCATGGCCTCAGATTAGATAAGACCCAGCCTGCGTTTAGCATAAACGTACAAAGCAAGTTCCTGGACCTCCTCTCTCATGGACCCACGGGCAAAAGCCAACAATTAACACATTGTGCTGCTCTGTTTGGAAGGTGGACTATAGGGCACAGCCTTCACCACAGTGTACCAGGCATGTTCATCACTCAGCCAATAAACCTGACAAAGACACATTCTGTTCTCATTGATTAAATGCCTCGCAGAGGAGCCTCAGGTGGAGTGCTGCTTGTTCTACCAGAGAAATGACGCCAATATTTGATTGTGCCCAATGTTTTTTTTCGTGTCAACTTCAGAGTTTCTCCCTTCTGCCCTAGTCCAATATTTGATCAGTGACAAGGAAACCTGCGCAGTGACCCTTAGCAGTGGTGCAACAATACTTTTGATGTATTATGTGTGATTTGCTGTCAAAGTTTAGTTTCACTTTATTTTATTTGAGAAGGGACAGGGTAAATAAGTAAACAACAATGTCAGAATTAGCCACAAGGCTATTCATCATCTGTAGACCCTTTGTAAGGTGTCATACAAGCCTTCCTGAAATACATCTAAACAGGGTATTAGGTTTAAAGATTTGAAAAGGACACATTAAAGCAATAAAGACATACAAATATATTATTTGGAGCTAAATTCTGTCTCCATTTCACACAAAATCAAACTGACTGAACTACTTATCTTGTTCAGGGTCAACTGTAATATTCAAATGTGCACTGACTTCCCTGCCAGACCCAAATACTTCTGCCTTTTGGAGCGACATTGTGTGAAATTACCACAGCCAGGGCAGGTAGTGTATTGTGCAGCAGGTCAGAGCTGGCAGTTTCTTATCTGCAGATGTGTGTTTGGCCGGCCTGTCCACTGTGGGCAGCTGGCAGTAGTCAAATAGTCTCAGCCCCACCGAGTGGGAGGATCTCAATCCAGATATCCATTACTAAATGCATTCATGTTTTTTTTTGCAAATATTTACTTAGGTATTTGTATGAAGCAATACAAAGTTACTTTATGCTACACAAACTCATTCACAATCCTAATTTCTAGTCTGCTTTTTTCTTCACATTTGTTCCTTATCAGTATTTGCCTGTGTGCTGTGTATGAGTGGAGTGACACAAGTGCAGTGTTATACAAAATAATCTGAACTGAGTCAACATTTATGTCTGTTGTTAGTTTATTACCCAACATCTGTTTCACTTTGAAAATGCATTCATGTGAACCTAAATAGCAGACACTCAAAATGTTGCATGTAAGAAATATCAGAAAGCTAAATCAGTACTGTAATTGTATCTTTCTTTCTTTTATCTTTCCTCAGATTTCTGGTTCAGGTGGAGGACTTCCTCCAGTCAGCACACTGACCAACATCCACAGTTCCCATCACAGCCACCACCAGAACCTCATCATGCCTCTATCTGGAGTCATGGCCATAGCACAGAGTAAGTCCTCCAACCCTTTAGAAAAGAGAGAAAGTCATTTCATTTACTCCACCATGGACATGTTTTAACTGAGGTTTTGCTGTGTCTCTCTAGGTTTGAACACATCACAGTCTCAGTCGGTGCCAGTGATCAACAGTGTGGCGGGAAGCCTGGCAGCGCTGCAGCCGGTGCAGTTTTCCCAGCAGCTCCACAGCCCCCACCAACAGAGCCTGATGCAGCATTCCCCCAGCCACATGAGCCAGCAGCCGTTCATGTCTGTCACTCACTCACACAGTAAGTTACACATATGTAAAAGAGCCTCTAGGATGCTTTGTGTGTCAGTTAAACTAGTGGATCCCAACCTTTGTTGTTTGTGTTGCTGTAACAGATATGTGTGTGCAGTTCAAAGAAGTGATGTACTTTTTTCAATTTGTTTCCTGCAAATCATTTTTACGGTCTGAAAGGGTAAACAATCCAAAATATTGAGGAAAACAATACAAATGAGTAATTGGAGAAAATGAAAATCATTGTGTAGAAATTACCCCTAAGAAGCATTTTGGGAAACTTGAACTGAACTGAAGCAGTGGATATTTTAGAAATAAAGCCTTAAAAAACGCTCTCCACTCTTTTATGATCTTTTAAGTTTAGTTTTTTTTATTAATGCAATTAGAGCGTAAAACAGTCATCTTTTGCTGCTTTCCTATCTGTATTACAATACTAAAAGTAGAAAGATATGAAAGCTTTCCTCAGAAATTACTAGATTTTAGACCAGATCTTCTTTAATAGTGACTTTGCTACCTTTTGATCATCATAAACATTCAAGACCCTCCAACATATACTGTTTTTGTGTTGTAAAGTGGAAATATAATTGAATCTATCTGACTTTCCTCTGCAGTGTATTCTCACAAGCAAGAGCCCCCACAATATTCCCACCCGTCACGTTTCCCCTCGGCCATGGTGGTCACAGACGGCAACAGCCTCAGCGCCCTCAGCTCCATGTCAGGCAAAACGGTGAGTCCTTCACATCATATCTCATCTCAGGGGCAACAGCTGCATGTTCTTACCTCTCTCTGTCTGCCGTTGCGGTTTTAAAAGTTAAAAAGTAAAAAGTCTGTGATCACTATTGGGGTATTTGCATGATAATCAGCAGTACATTGAAATATTATCGCCGTTACTGTTAAAATTATTATATTTTGCAACGGGGAGTTCTAACGTTTGATCAAATCTCTTAAAAATAGTGCTGTTACTTTTTGACTTGCACACTCATTTCTTGTTTATACACATAAAGCGCCCTTACTTTGTTCTGATTAAGAGAAACAACACATTCAAAGCACACACTAACAGGAACTACATCATGACAGGGAGAAGTGTTTGTGCGTTATGATCGTGTGTTGACTTTGTTTAATTCCTGTCACATTAGGATGGTGCTGTAAACAAGATGGTGCAACTCGGGGGTCTTTCCTGGGTAAATACCATTTTAAATCAAACACAATTGCACACAAATCCTTTATGTAGGTGTGCAGACTGCTCCTTTTAATGTTTATAATTTCTGTGTGGAGCTGCTGCTGATATTTAAATGTTTTCACTTGGTTTAAAACCAAGAGACAAGACAGATATATGGATAGTATACTCCCCAGAATTCCTATTTCCTCTTAAATAGACTTCTAATCAATCACCTGCTCCATCAGCCTGAACGCCTCTTGATTAATGCTGCCTCCTTTCACTTTCCTCTCCCTGGTGAGAGTACCTCTGCGATTAGGAAATGAGCCCCGCTTTTAATCAGGGTTCTCAAGCCTTGTGTGCTGCTACTTTGCTCCATGCTACAGTGAGGCTGGAGATGAGATGGGCTGAGTGGGGGTAGAGTTTCTTTTTGGGTAATTACACCTCTTCCTCTTTCCTACTTCTCCCTGCTCTCAGTGATCGCTCTAGCCTGAAATGTTGTCCACGGTGCTTTCACACGCTCAATTTCCCACGCTGAGTCAGAGCACTTGTAACGCAGTGCTGCTACTGACAGACAGATGGGTTGAAGGGATGATAGCTCAGAGTGCAGTATATCCTCAGTGGGGGGGCGAGGTGTAACAGACCTCCATGAGGAGGCAATATATAGGAACCTTCTGGTCAAGGTGTAGCTTGTTTTAATTTTGTAAAACAAATGAAAAATGTACAAACGATGTAAAATAACTTGAATATTCGCATTACATTACATTACATGTCATTTGTTAGATCCAAAGCGACTTACATACATTCAGTACTGTGGACAATCCCCACAGGAGCAATTTGGGGTGAAGTGTTTTGCCCCGGGACACAACGACATGCTGACTGCAGTGGGACTCGAACTTGCTGTCCCCTGATTCGAAGTCCAGCACACTTCCCACTGAGCTACAGCCCCCCATTCACGTGTTTTCTCTTTAGTTTGATATTTTAGATAAGATAAATACTGATATCAGTACGTTCACAACTATATATAACTAGAGGCTTTATTTGTTTTACAAGACGCACAATTTTGTATATGGCTGCCTGTATAAAGTATAAATATAGACTGATTTCAGATATTTCATGGACACATTTTGGATTTGTGTCCAATAATCGATACAGCACCAATGCATTTTATACCAAGTAACTTCACGATACATCTGTCAGTAAAAAAACTCCTTATGAAACATAGTGAATTAAAAAGTACTAACTTAGCAAAAACACTAGAACCTTAAAATGATACAGTTCTTGATACTTAATACGTATTTCATCATACACCCGAGACATTTGACCAACCCATTTATTTAGGTGGTAATTAGCTAGCAGGCTCTCCCAGGTATTTTCTTATCAGGGCTTTATTTGGACGGGGCAGCCTTTTTTTCTCATGACACAACCAGCCCTGCTCCGGCTTTATAACTAATTGTTTACCGAGAACCCTCCATTATACCTGAGTCTGTTTCAAACTCACCTCTGCTCAAAGCCTGGCGTCTAATGACTCAAGTCTTAGCTGCGGGTCAGCTTTATCAGGTGGAGCTGTTTGCTGGCCGCAGGGTCACACCAGGGTCACCTACCTCCGCCCCTGAAGAGCCAGGGGAAAAATAAATTCCACAAACAATCTAAAAAAAAGGAGAGCATTTAAATGGAAACAAGGCTTTTGAGAGTCAGGAGAAGAGGGATGAGGAATGTATTTGGTCAGGTGTGGCACACACATGAAGGTGCAGGGGTGTTTTATTTACCTGTGGTGGAAGACGTATTTAAATAAAGGACTAATGTAAAAGTACCACACTATAAAATACTCCATTAAGAATAAAAATACTGCATAGTTAAAAGTGTAATTATTGAACCATTTAAGCAGCATTTTGTCAAGATGGAGCTAATTTGACTAGTTCTTTAACCTTTGTGGATACGTTTATTTTTTGTTATTAATTGTTAAAGTAGCATAAAATGGATAATCTCAAGTTACTCAAAGCTGTATGTAGTTACTTTCCACCACTGGTATTTACATTTAAATGTGTCACCTCCAGGAAGCCTTATTGCCCATCACATAACTTGTGGTACTGGACAGATTGTTTTTATTGTTTTATGTAACGCAGGACTACTTTGTCTCACATTTTTCTCCTTCTCCTTTCAGTGTCCTCTTCAAGCTTGGTGAGAGCGTCCACCTGACTTCCCCGGTGCCCGGCAACGGAGGCACATTTTTCCACCCTCTCACCACAGTAACCATGACAACTCTTAATAACCGGCAACGGCGCGCTGGATGATGAGTCAGTCAACAAAACCAAAGGAGAGGCAGCGGGCCAGACGGTGAAAATGAGAAATGGGGACAGAGAGGGAGAAAAACAAAAAAACTCACCTGAAAAGTGAAGAGACTTGCTTCACCTCCATCGCACACAAATGATAAACAGGATGATTTTAAACACAATCTTTGAAAACAGTATTCAGTTTTTCTTATGCCCCCGATCACCCTCTTTTCTGACATTGCAAAGGAACAAAAATCAAGCACCCAAAAAGCACTCAAAAACTGTTTAAGTGGTGCAGACTTAAACGAAGGCTCTGGGACCACTTAAATTACACTGTGATTTAAGGTGGAAATATCGAGGCACCCTGCAACTAACAGAGACAGTGATCAGCCTCTGTGAAGGCTGAAAGACTCAAGTTCCTGGAGGCCTTCACAAACAGCCCTGCACGTGAGCAGATTTGTGTGACAATCACAATAACCCTGTATTGATTTTGTATGCATGCATTAGACATTTTTACTGGTCTTTAAAAGGAGTCTTCCATATTTTTCCTCTACACTCAGTTAGTGCAGGCGATGAATGCAGAGGGATTCATCATTTCAAGTTGTTCAAGTTGTTTATACTGTGATTGAAAAGACTGACAATCTTGAAAGGACTATGCAATGTGTCAATCGGTGTAAGAAATGCTTTGGATAACTGGATTCTGCACAGAACTCGACACACTTGAGACTGGAAATGAATATGCACTATCAGTGAAGTCACCAACAATTGCATATATACATTATATAATTATATATATATAGGCCTACTGGAGTTGCTGTTGATAAAGCTGCCTGTAAACTAACACAAGAGCAGATGGATGAGTGTGTGTGTGTGTGTGTGTGTGTGTGTGTGTGTGTGTGTGTGTGTGTGTGTGTGTGTGTGTGTGTGTGTGTGTGTGTGTGTGCGTGTGTGCGTGCGTGCGTGCGTGCGTGCGTGCGTGCGTGTGTGTGTGACAAATATGCCAAAGAATAAGAGTCAACTTCAATGTACGCAGGGAGGACTGACTCACACACTTCAACTGTGGCCCTTCCCCTCCCTGTTGTTTGCACACAGGTTCAGGTGAATTTCAGGAATGGGACTCTCCCTCCTCCTCTTTCTTCTTCTCCCACTTCCTGCCTTAATGTGAAGAGATACCAAATAGGACAAACATTGTTAATAACTCCTTATCATAAATCATGCCGGCAGGAACCCCCCAGAGTCATGATGAAAATATTGACAAGTATTCAGAAACAAAACAAGTTGTGTACGTCTGGTATTTTGTGAAGGAGAGGGACATGAAAGTGGGCAGTGTTGTGACAGCAGCTGCTCTAATCATCCAGGAATCCAAAGAGGCTGAGAAATGTTGGGGAGAGGAGCAGCTGCTGTGGGTACAGACGCCCATGCTCACACTACCAAGGTGTGTTCGGGCAGAAGCAAACTTTATTTGCCCAAATGTGTCCGTTGGAGCCTGTGTTTGTTCGCCCCCAACTATTAGTACTGTTAGGCAAACTCCCTTCTCTCCATTGACTTTGTATGGAAAGTTTGTCCCAACACACAGTTTCAGTTTCGGTTTGCTTGACAACGATGGGAAAGGTTGACATGGGGACCAAATTATGCATCAGGAATTATTTTTAATTACACACTTTTCCAACCCTGCAAATCATTAGTGGGTCAGATCCAGTCTCCTGTTCAATATTAGGTCATTACATTTGTTATTATTATGTTGGTTGGTGTGTGACTGTTATTATAGGCACACCTACTGCCATCTGATCAGAGGGCACTCATACTTGTGCAGGATGTGATTTTTTTTCTCCTAATGTATTATTTTTGTATAAAATGGAATCAATCATAAATCATTATTTATACTTTCTGAGAAAATGTTGATATTTCAAGTAAAAGTTGTTTTTTTCAAAATGAATACATGACTTTGGTTATTGTGTGTGTGCAAGGCATACGATTGAAAGATAGATTGAACTATTTGATATAAATGTGGGAGGTGTTATAATACATACAAGTATTGATCCTGTTTTCTAATATTATTATAGATATCATATACATATATTCATCAATAACTTTCTAAGTCTGGGCCAATGATTTGTAACCAATAGCTGTTGGAAATATAAGGTAACATAACATGTAAGTGTACCTCAAATGTGTGCTTCAGTGCAGTAGGATACTTGAGTTATTTTCTGCCTCTTCAAAGCTGTTTATAGCCTCTACAAAGATGTTGTGGTGTTGCGCGTGATAAGACAAACAGCCTCTTTGAAGTTCATAGATCTAAAGTGCACCTTACATTTCAAGCAAGGTCATTGAACTTGACTTGTTGATAGCATAATTCATTTAAGCATTTATCTGGTACTGACACAGAGCCTTGTGTAAAAAAACTCATGTATAGCTTTTAATATGGTTATTGTAATGAAAAGAAACACAGCTTCATTTTGAAAGGGTTTTAAGTCAGCTCAATGTCCCATGGCTCTAGGGTTACATTGCATAATTCACATGCTGATCAGATGTTCAGGAGGTGTCTTTGCAAGTTTGCAGTAATATAATGACTTATAACATCTGTTGATATCTAAATCTATATACTGTATGAGGATGAGAGGATTTCTACATTTCTATAAGGAATTGCAAAAAGGTTCATACTTACCTTGTATAATCTTAATTATCAGTATAAATTCTTATCTACCTAAATTCATGTGACAAAAACAAAACAGCAACATGAACAACATTAAAAAGAACAACACCTAGACATTTGACATGTGATGTAACTGCCCTATTTTGCCCACAGAAAATAACATGCAATTAAAGTGGTATGGATATGGTTGAAAATGAAAGTGTGCATCATGTCAAAAAAAGAAAAAGAAGGGTCAACACTTTCAAACATAACACTTACAAAAAGAACAGTATAGTGATTTCCCTTGAGAAAGCCTTACCTCTGCTTTCCTATCCCTGTGTTGACCTGCAGCCTACACAGTGGAGCCCTGCTGTTTGCAGCCTTGTAATCCACTGATGTTGCTCTATTTGGTTTTCAATGAGGCCTTTGATTTCCAGACCCAGGAAGCCTCTAAAGATCTGACAGTGTCTCTTTTGCTCTTTTCTGTAAAAGAAACTGAAACACTGGAGGGCTCATTAGCATCTGTTAGAACTTGAAATACAACACTGAACTCATGACATTTAATTCAGAATTAGGGTTTGAATACAGGCTTGATTCATTAGCAGGTTCTTGAACAAATGTGCTAAATACTTTTGTATAAACAGTTTAGTATGTGTTGTCTGCTTTGTCTCCATGGGGATGTATTGTCAGTCTTGTTATTTGAGGAAAGATCTTGTGCTTAAGCAGGAAGCACTTTAGGTCATTTTGAACTTATTTGTATTTTTAGGTAGATTCATTTTATTCTTATCTTACAGCTAACTTTGTATGAAATGTTGAAAGAATACCAGCACACTTTTTAACTAACGTCAGCATGCTATTTCGCAAGCCCCCGCAGACTCTTTCTTTCTGGGAAAAGTAATCTTTTAAAAAGGTTAAATTACTCTTTATTGCTCCACGTCTCACAGCAGGGGGCACCATTACTCATTTAGGAATTCCTGCTTAAAGCAATAATGCTTAACAAGAGAAAAATTCTCCTAATCCAAGTTTGGTATGATTGTTTTAACAAAACGTATAGGTACATTCAACTAACAACTAAACTAAAGGTTAAAACAGTATCATGACAAACCAAATCATAAACAAATCATGTTTGGTCTCCTTTCTCTTTATCCAGTCTTGATCCAGGTTTTGACACTCAATAGGTTTTATGACAATGACATGCGCCGTTGAGAGGAGCACAAGGAATAAATTAAGTATTCATCTTCAAAGAATTCTTCACGGGACTTTTCATTTATTTTCCAAGATAGCCGTCTGCTCCAGAGTGGCTGTGGTGCAGCGCTGTCTGTCTGATTAAAGCAGAACACTTCCAGGGAACAGAGGATCATTGACTCTCCCTTCACCTCCTGTGAGAGGCTTGGCATGTCTTCCAGGCAGCGGAGCATAAAACAGGGAAGATCATGACTGATCACGCCTCAACTTTGGCCTGACGAAGTTCATCTGGGTAAATGTTGTCAGTCAATCCATTACATTTTTAAGAAAATCTTAAACCCATAATTCAAACCATTGAATCACTTTCTTTGATGTATTGAGTTACTGAACTCTGAACTTTGAGTCTGCCCACATTTGCACTCAGGCCAAGTGTAGTCTCTCAATCAGCGCTAAAGATACATACTGTGAAACATACTGCAATAAAACCATAAATACAGCTACTGTTATCACTGGTAGCAGGTATCAATACAACTCCATAAGTTTCCTAATGACGCTTCCATTGTCCGCTGCATCAACAAAGACCACAAATACAGAGGACTGATCTAGAGCTTCTTCATATGGCGCAACAAGAATTATTTAAAGCCCAAAATCAGCAAGGCCATTGAGCTTTGTAGACTGCGCTCACAACACTGAAGCCCTAGAAGGACACACAAACGTTTTTACCCTAAGGAGACTTAGATCAATTAGTGTCTACAAAAAACTACTGCAGACTTTCTCTCAGCCGTTAGTAACCAAGGTTTCTACCTTCACAACAGTGTGCTGGGCTGGCACACTGTTGTCCAGCTCAGTGATCAGGAACTGGACAGTCTGCACTCAGTTTCAGAGAAGGGGCAATTTCAGTAGATTGGCACCCTATACTATATTTTATAACCATAGCTCCAAACAATTGCAAATGGTAGCCAGATATAAAACCTATATGTTCCCCCCAACAGTGTATTAGAAAGATATAAGCAAAAAGCTGGGAACAGTCTGTAAAAAAATCTGCAGGTAAACTACCTGAAAGCAATCACTAAAATACAAAAAGAAAAGGAAACCATGCGCACTAAATAGAGATACAATGTAGGAGAAGCTCTTTTAGAGAGTGTATCTCTGCTGCAGGGTAGTGAAGATGGAGATAACAGATTCATCTCAAGGACTCAAGAGGTCAACCCAAGGAGCGAGCTGCCACCCGGGGAACAGAGGCGAGGGGGAAAAGAGACAGAAAGTGGAAGCTGTAGGCTGAATGTGGCCGTGTGTTTAGCAGAGGCAGAATAAAGGATACTACATCAACTCCAGCTGGGGCCCAAGGGGTTAATGGATAAGACTACCCAGCAGGGGTCAAGGGTCAGGAGGCCACTCTCTGCCAGGGCTAATTGGTCACTGCGACCAGAGTTAACGCCAACATTTCTATGGAGAAATACATACACATGTATGGAGCTGCTCTGACAGGAGAATCCATCAAAAGCCCCCATCAAGGAGGCCTCTGTTGTGCTGCTGCACAGTCATGGAGATCACTCAGGCCTCCAGAGTAACAATCAGCACCCTTCACCGTACATCGCCAGCAGCACCACCTACAGTGACAGCCAGGCCGCACGCGTGAAAAGATTGCTGGCTTTTGATCTCCAGTTTTTCTGTTCAATTCAGCTCATTAGCATTCACTATTGTAAGGACAAGAAAACACGGCATTAATGTGAATGTGAGAAGTCATTTGGATTGACCTACTTTCTTAACAGGTGAACGTTTTGGAGAGCAAACATGTCTTTACATTATTTGAATCATGTGATGAAGACGTTTCTTTTCTTAATAATGGTCCATTTCGGTTATTTTGATATCTTTAGCTTTGACATCTTCACAGACTCTTGCTTCCATTGACGAGACTTAGGTTGTGTCCTTTATTTTAGCTATTTTAGTCTAACATCATTTATATGGACCATATGGTAATATAACTATTATTACTGATCAGTTTAATAAGAAGGAACATTTTTGGGTACAACATAATACACATCAAGTGCGAGAGGCTCATGACTTCAATCATAATAATAATAATAATTACTTAGATTTATATAGCGCCTTTCAGGGGACATTCATCTTGGCTGCTGTATATGATACCTTACTTTGAGGAATAGCAGCATTCTTTTTCCTTTTAAGAAAATGTATTCAACAACTTAAATCCATCCATGTTAAATACAAATCCTGTTGGGAATGACCACATTACAGTCCTACTTGTTTGTGCTTACAGAAACGTTCCTTCAGCAGATATATGAAAGCCAACGTCTGGTCTAAAACTACAATTCTTCACAGTGAAGCTCAAACTTAACATTTTTCAGAGGCAGGACTTTCATTATCACCAGTGTGGTATGTTTGTAAGTGTTCTCATTACAACAGTTTGAATGCATTTTCTGCTGCTCTTTATTGCTTCCATTGAGACTCATCAAAAAGATGATTAGGCCTCGTCAGTCTCCTGTCCCCTCCTCTCCTCTGAGGGCCGATCGTGGGCTTCCTCCCTGCTGTGTGTGCCGGGTTTAGCTGGAGGCCGGCCGACTCCGTCAGTCAGTCATGTCCTCTCGACGCTTGGATCTGGACGGGCTGTGGGCAGCCCCCCAGAGAGGAGGCCCGGCGAGAAAGGTGAACATTAACCCGGGTCCCATTCTGGGCATCCCACCATTCCCCATAAATCATTAACACATCCAGCATCAAGCCTGTGACAGCATCAGCATGACAACATCAATCTGTCAGGATTTCTCTATAATAGGTTTTCAGCCCCACATGCAAATGAATTGGTGAATTTAGACCCTAGTGAACACAGACATTTTCACCCAGAAACACATCTAAAATAACTCATGGTCCTAATATTTGATGCTGGTTTATTTCATATGATTTATTTCAGATAAAATGCCACGTAAAGCCACAAACAACCGTCATTTCTTTGGTGTTTTACCTGGATATTGTAAAAATGAATTTCCTCTAAACATTTACAAGGTCATTAAAGGGTACATACGTCTGGCATTAGGCCATGACAGGCTTTTAAGGCCTGTGGAGATTTATCACAGTCTGGTCATGCTCCTGACAGCTGCCTCAAGTTGTAGATGAAATATGAGAGGAGATTGAATTTTAATTATCTTCTTTTTCTTTGCCTCACTTTAATATCTTCTTAATTATTAGTGACATCCTTTTGTTTAGTTTTTTTTATCAACTTACATACGCACTAAAATATTCACTTTGTCTTCAAAACCTTTGTCTTTAAATGCCCACCAAGAACTATGAAATTGTATGAAAACTCTATGAATTGTATTGTATTTTGTAAACACATTTTATTTGCTTAATCCTTTTATTAAGAATTGTAATCTATTGCTGTAATTATTCCCAAAATATTATCTGACTTGTATTAGTCTGTATTTATTACACTTTTTTAAAATGCTTGATGGACAGTAAATGAAATAAAATCAAAATGGTTCAATTAAAACTGCAGTTTTTTACTTTTAGAGTCACTCTGAAGCCTAAAAGGCCACATCAGTCCCTCTGTCATGCATATGGACTCTGAATCATTGCTATTGAATGGAGCAGAGGTATGGGAAGGTTGAGGGCAGACCAGGTGATGGATAGCAGCGGGGCTTGTCATCCGCTGTCTTACACTGCTCTCATTAAGCTGTAAATCTTTCACAACAACAGCCGCGATGAGACAATGCCAGAGAGGCTTTTCCTTGTAGCTCCACCTTGTCATTGGTGTAACAATGAAACTGCAAACTGAATCACTTTGTCAGGACGCACAATGGCCTAAATAATTCAAGCAGCCGGTAAAAATGTTGGACAACACATTAGATGCTATTTACAGTTAACATGAAAGCATTGTAATGGCTCTTTGGTAGACATTAACATATTTAAATAAACATGTTGTATTGTATTGATGTAAAGAAATACAGAAATATTGTCTGCTCCCATGGAGGTCAATTGTGTAGCTAAAGCCCAGGTTAAGGGAGTTTACAAAAAACTAAAATAAAAATATGTCACCCTTTTCAATAATAATCACCCAAACATAACCTAAACATAAGTATCCATTTGTTTTATTATGAGCTGAAAGAAACTAGAAACAACATTTCATATTATGAACACTTTTGTCACTTTGAAGCTTCTTTTGAGAGATTTGAAGTAGAAAAAAATGTGTTTGAAAATGCAAGTGTGCTGCAGAAAGATGTCCCTTCAATATTTAGTTTTCTGACTCCATCTGATGGAACATGCAGAACACAGATTTCAATCATTCTCATCTTTGTCCAAAATTATAAGAGGGTATGTCTGTCTAGAAATAGCTACACTGCAGCACATTTCAGACTGCACACACTGCATACAGGTTTCGTTATAAAAGAGGAGCAAAGACCCTTTGTGTAGACTGTATGTATAATATGACTGTGCATGAACAAAGCTGCCAATAAGCTAAACACTGACATCTGCTGGAAGATAACCTTCATTGCCGTACATATCAAGTTCTGTTAATCGACATGTTGGCCCTGTTTTATGTCTTGCAGGTAGAAAAGAAGCTCAGGTGATGAAATATTTAAAAGAAATAGAAAATGCATTGGAGCCTTACTGATGAATATTATATTATATTAAAAAGTATCACCTAGTGCTTGAATTGTGTGTTTCTCATTTTTAAAACAAGAAATGTCCACCCAAAAACTTACATAAAGAAGGCACACATTGGTGCATAAAATGAATTAGATTAAGTTTTTGTCCAACAGGTTAATAACGGCCCCCCCCATGTGAAAACAACACCCCGGAAGCAGGAAGTAAGCTTTGCCTGAGAGGCTGTACTCAGGGCCCGTCCTCCGACACACACCCTTCGTCACGGCTGACGTCATCTTCCTCCTAGTGACTGACTGCTGTTATCAAGATGGCGCTGCGGCCAGGATCTGGGGGAGGCGGCAGGTATTTTAGCCTTTAAAAATCAACTCTGTCGCTTAAATGTTAACCATTTATGAATTATCCGCCTCTGAGTGGCGTTTAGCAACACATTAATCCCAAATAATGGCCTCCAAAACAGCGACTAAAGGTTGTTCTGTTGTCGGGTGCAGGGTGATGAGATGAGATGAGATGGTTGTCAGGTGTCACAGCTAACGTAAGCTAGCTGGTTTTGTATGCTCAGAGTGTACCAACATAATGCCAAAATGTCCGTATTTTAACAAAGAACACGTGTCATGCTTTCTGTAACCGTTACTGTCACGAACTCTCGCGGTATCTGGTGATAGTTCATGATGTATATAGAAAACAACGCATATTAATCTCTTGTAGCATCGTCAGAAAAGCAGCTAGCACCTGTGCAGTCAGGCCCCTGGACGGCTGACAGTCTACCTGGTCTTATGAACTTTATGACTATTACATACATTATCTGCCATTGGGGCTATTACGTATCTGTAAAGTGTTTTAACAAAATGAAGCAGATGGGAAGTGCAGGTAGCTGCTGATTTAGTTACTAATTTACCTTTCAACACATTAAGGGCAACTCCATATCTTTTAAAGAGTAATTATTTAATTAATCACGCACTTAACAAAGTGTCACATGCACACTCCTCGCTAACCATCAAATCGTTTTACATCTTGAGGAGATTTACAGGTGTGTTAATAGAGCAGTATTATTATGATGGTCTGCAGCCTCATGATTATTTCATAAGCTGAATTCGAGCAGCTTTAATAATAAATGTGCTCTGACTACAAGCATCTCAACTAGCCCTGTGATACTGATCTGACGGCTGAAACCAAAACCCTCAAGGCTGTGGATGAGTGTGGGCACTGAGTAGTAGGAACAAGTAGGTGTAATGTGAAGACCTGGAGATAATAACAGTTGTATGGTTGACAGTATTTGACTTGTGCTGTCATTTCTGTGAAATTGTCCCTATTGTTTGCTTAAATTATGGGCACTTAATGCAACTTTTTGACCAAACAATGACCGGATATTCAACCACAGGAAGGTGTTAATGGTCATGTTGCACTGCCTCTCTTTAAGTCACAGTCAGAAAGGGTCAGAAATGTAAATATACCCTATCCAAGCTGTCCTGTTATGGTGTTAAGGTAGGCCTTTGTCCAAATGTTTCTTATCAATGAGTAGGACTCTTGTATGGCAATATTGGATTTGTAGTCCATAGTTTAGAAGTTCCTTCACCTTCTATATTATTTTAATAGCTGGATTTGTGCAAAACAGACCGTAATGGAATAATCCAAATAGAGTAGGACAACTCCGATTCTTCTCAGAATCATCCCCAGTCAAGTGTACAAACTGATATTATCCATGTTGGTCATTCTTTACTCTTTACAGTTGTTTTCACTACTGCTAAAAATACCTCACCTTTATCTGGGAGGTGTCTGTCTGTCACAGTAAGTCTATATACTTCTACCCTGGCGCATCTGTAATCTGGTTCATGTTCAAATCAGTTTACATTTCAATGTAATGAAGGAATTCAGTTTTGGAAAAGGTTTAGTTCAGTGTTTTTTCCTGCCGCGCACGATTTGATTAAAAAAAATTAGAAATAATACATAACAAATCTGTCAGGACTCAGGAGAGAGGGGGGGGGGGGGGTTGAGTTGCACAGGCTGCAGTGGAGATGCTGCACACAGCTGATCGACAGCTGGGACACAAACCACCAAATACAAAAACATAATTCAGATCCAGTCTCATGACTCCCCGATCATTTCTTACAGTCTCTCATCAAGGGGGGGGTCTCCTGTCCCCGGTACAAACACACTGCCTGAGGAAGGCTATGTGTATTTTTTTTGTCATTAACCTTTTTCGGACCACTTATTTATTTATTTTGGTGACGACCCGACCTCCATGCTGCTGCTCTGTTCAAACGGCATCCACCAAACAATATGATTTATCTCCACCTCCCCAAAAGAACCAAAATCTGACACGGTGTGAGATGTCATTTTTAGCTGTTCTGTCGTCATTTCCTGCGATCTTCTTCATGCAGTCAGTCAAAATGAATGAATGGGTGTTTCTTTGACTATTTATAGGCAAATATGAGCGTTACGTGAAGCCCGCAAAAGCTGCACCGCATTTCGAGTCGATTGTGATTTATAAAGGGAAACCGGCGTAGGAAGTGCCGTACGCACTTTCCTCGCCGGTACGCAATGTTTGGTGAATCGGAAAATGTCGGAACATTTCTGTACCTATTTTTTGGATTTCTACTACGTAAGCAACCTTTCATTAAATAACAAGTAGAGAATAAACAAAAACCTTACATTTTGAGTAGCTGAAACCACGACATTTTACTTGATTATTAATCCATTTTCTCAATAGTTACAGACTTCCTATCAAAAACATCGTGCTCATAATGTTCTCTTTTAAAGGGTCTCAGTCTGTATTCCCCTAACTAATGTATATTCCACCAAAGGAGCAGCTTCAGAATAATAATAAATCATTCTTGTTTAAGCGTCCTCGGTCATGATGACATTGACAGTAACTCCTGACCCTGCTGGTGTCCTCCGGTCTTTATGAACAGTTGTATGATATCTGGGAGATGATCAGAGGCCTTTTACAAGGCGTCACCAGCTGCTCGCTGCTTATCTCCTTCCATGTTAATCTGCCCAGCCTTGACCTGTTATTTGCTGCAGGGTGGTGGGCAGCAGAGCTGTAGTGCTCCTATAAAAGCTTGTTAAGCTGGTGGTCTTACAGGCAGCAGATGCGAGTGTGAAACCCCCCCGAGTCAAGCACCATCACTGACTGAAGCCCTATTGCATCAGTGCTGTGAGGGGAACCACTTCTTCGTGCTAATAGGATAATGTTGTTGCATTATTATTTTCAAATGGTGATTGTAGGAGCTTTAAAGTGTGTTTTTCTTTATTAACGTTATAATATATTTTCGTGTAATAAATTGTGTCCTCTTTATATATACTTTTGCTGTGTACTTTTTAGAATATAGCTGAATTGATTAGCTTTTGATGAGTTTTGTTTAGGTCATTTAGCAGCAGAAATGCTGTTCCAAAGTTCTCAAATCAAGTGTAATGGCTGTTTCCCCTGTTTAATATCTCTGTAAATACATTGTTTTGCTTTCCAGACAACACAAGTAGGGAAATTATGACCATGGTGATTGATCCTGATTCTAATCTTAAGATACAACCCTAGTGTACAGTTTTCAACCTTTGCAGTGCACAAAGATACACACTTTCCTCACAATGTTAAATGAACAAAGCTTCCTTAAGGACATTTTTCATTTTATAGTCAAACTGCGGTCTAAGTCATTCCTTATTTGCCTCAGGGCAGGGTTTGTAATTGCTTTGGCTATAACTTGGACTGTCTGGTGAAGAGTTCCCTGCTTCCCCTTTGTTAGTTATGTTGGTAAAGTTACTAATATGATAATGTCACTCGCACATTGGATTAGTGATGCTCAAACCCAGAGTCATTCTGGGAAGCATTGGCTGGCTCTTTCTTCTGCTTGTCTCTGCATCCCAAGTTCCAGCCTGAAGAACTGGGCTGTAAGAAGTTATTTGACAAATAGCTGAAGGCCTGTGTGGGTTGGCTTTGGTTAGATTGGCTTGGCCGTCGTGTAGAGACTCTCTCTGACATCCTAAAGGCATGTTTCACAGCACAGAGTCCAAGTCGTCTGTAAAAACGACACTCTACCATTCCTGCAGATTGTCTGGCATTAATAACAACATTTCAAAGATTTGCTGTTTGGAAATCAAGCTTAAATCTGGTCTTTGTAAATGAACTTTATTTGATAGCTCTTACAGTACAGGCAGGCATTTACACTCAATGATACAATCAACCCTAATCCAATCACATAGTTTGAAGAGGTAAAGGCACCTTTTATTCAGTCATACAGTTTCAAATGTCATTAACTTTGGCTAAATAATCTCTCTATAATAACAAGCTCTTTTGTTTGTGTTGTAATAATATGACAGTGTACAATTATATTTACTCTATTGAATACTATCTTGTTATACAGCACACATAACAGCAATCACTAGTTAGGAAATCTAAATGCAGTCATGACTTTCCCTTTACGAAGGCTTCTGATTGCCCGCCTCATATCCACAGGCGCAGTTTATGAAGTACTGATGACTTTTACTTTGCATTGTTCAAGGTTACAGGGGGACATGTTGCTGTTTTAGATAACCTTAATGTATTATCTGTGCGTTTCTTTACTTTGGCCTTCAATCATATGACCTAATTTCCTGTTTGTTTTCTTCCTTTAGTTTTATGTATCCTGTTGGAGGGGGCTTGGGACCGCCACAAGGTGAGTCACTCTGCTGCAGTCAGTAGTGGCAGCCTATTCATACAACATGTTGTGAGACGAGATGGTTATTTTTAAGGAGGAAAATGTGTATAACTGTCACACTTCTAGTCTATTGACTTCCAAATACTTGCTCTTAAATATAAGGCTGTTTTCGTGCGGGACAGTCATAGTGCAGAAAGGTGTTTATTCCCCTTTGACCGTAACAGAAAACATTTGTTGCTTCTTCCACTGAAGTGAAAACGGCTCTCTTTTAAGGGCTCTCGGCATGGAGGCCTGGCACAACCTATGCCACTGCCCGACTTGGACCATATTTGACCCATTTCATTATCAGAAGCCTAAACATAAATGGAACAAGCTTTTGTTCTGAATTTTAAATGTGACTCATCGAGCAAAATGTCCGAACATTTGGATTAAATATTCCTTTTGAAAAACAAACAAGTTACATTGTTTTTAATTATTGTCATCATTAACATTTTTACGTAACAAGTTATTTACAAGCTAACACAACATTTGATCCAAAATGTTGCTGCTTGAGATCACTGTAAGTCAACAGGCAGAAGTAAAGAGCAGTATGAATCAAAACATTGAAGCGCATTCCTTTGTCGCCCATTATTGAGCTGTGCTAGCTTTTCATATCTAGGTTTACTTTGCAGTAATACTCGATAAACTATCCACACTCCACTGGGGGAAACGTCTCTGAGGGGTCATTACACGCTCCCATTAGCATTGTCATTTTAGACTGAGTAGATTGTGTGCAGCCACTTATTCAGCCCTGTTGGGCCGTAACATGGGGAATCATTTGCAGGCCGCTCGGCTCTGGCTGTCAGCTCCCACAGCATCTGGGGAAACAAACCGGCACTTTTCTATTTCTTCCCTTGGTCCTCTTGTTTTCCTCCAAGCTGTCACACTAGTCACCACAAAAGCAGATTTGGTTGTTGTTGCTGAACCCGTGTATTTTCATAGCTGCCTCGGAAATTGATTTGCAATTTTGAATCATGTTCAGACTCAGGCTTTTAAAGTTATTACAATCTGCAGACATGTTTTCAGTTTTTCTCAGTGTTAACTAAACATGCTTACTGTCATGCTTCACATTTGTATGTAATATTCTGTTCCTTGTGTGTTTCTTTAGGCATGGTACCCATGCAACAGCAACAGCAGCAACAGCAGCAACAGCAGCAGCAGCAGCAGCAGCAGCAGCAGGGCTTCCCTATGGTTCCAGTCATGCAGCCCAACATGCAGGGCATGATGGGAATGCACTTTGGGGGACAGATGCCCCAAGGAGCAATGCCCATGCAGGTGAGCTTGTGTTTCTGTATTGGACTGCATCTTATTTCTGTTCTTGAATCTGTGTTCACTTTCCCTTACTGGAAGCATGAACTATATATAATAATAATAATAATAATAGTAATTCAATATATTTCTGATTTCTTTTTGCATCTCACAGGGTGGGATGGCTATCGGGATGCAGACCCCTGGGATGCAGTTCATGGGTCAGCCACAGTTTATGGGTATGAGACCTGCTGGACCCCAGTACACGGCGGACATGCAGAAACAAATGGCAGAGGAGCACCAGTAAGAAACCCTAACACTGACATCATGGCTCTGCTTTGTGTTTTTGTGTGCGTTAGCATGAATGCTCACATATATCTCAGTGTTCTGATGTTAGGATTTAGCTCTAAGCTCTGCTGTTCCCTAAATACAGCCTCACACAGAGCCGCTTGCATGGCTGTCAACTCTTAATCTTGTTGAGTTGTTTTCCAGAACTAAAATGTTACCATGACACTGACTCTCTTTACGCTCCAGTGCTGCTGCTATTACCACTAATGTGATAACTCTCCATAGCATTTTCATGTTATACCATATCTTTTTTTACAAGGGGGGGGGGTGTCAATATGCTGACTCATTCTTAAGCTAACCTGAACCCCCCCCAAAAATAATTGTCATTTAAGTTAATATACAGTGCTTATGGTTTTATATTAAATAGAAAGAATGGTTATTATTTTATTGGTTACAATCATACTCGGAATCAAGAAGGAGCTACTGTTTGACGGACATTCTACTTTCTTCCATTTCATTTATGAACGTATCAATGAAATTGCATACAGTATTATTACTCTGTGTTTTGCTCTTTCAAAAAACCTAATCCACATATTTTGCCATTTCCCCAAACTATTGAACTTCTCTCCCCATAATGTCGGTACTCTTGCTGCCCTTTAGGAAACGTCTGGAGCAGCAGCAGAAGATGCTGGAGGAGGACAGGAAGAGACGACAGTTTGAGGAGCAGAAACAGAAGCTGAGGCTGCTCAGCAGTGTCAAACCCAAGGTGAGTTTCTCTCCACGTCCTGTCTCTTTTTAATGACATGTCCACCGCTCGTATACATGACCCTCTGGTCTCTCGATCATCTGTTGTCCTCAGACGGGGGAGAAGAGCCGCGATGACGCACTGGAGGCGATCAAAGGCAACCTGGATGGCTTCAGCAGAGACGCCAAGATGCACCCCACCCCATCATCACAGACCAAGAAGCCAGGTACCCTCACTCAGCACGTTTACCTTTAATCCTTGATGTTTTATTCCTGTTGTTCCCTTCCATCAGCATATGCGCTCTCTCTTCAAATGCGCCTGTACAGCAATATGAACTGCATTAGAGGCAGATCAGCATGATGACTGCTCAGCCCTTTGAGTTCTGTTTAATTTTCATCACATAATCTTGATTTATTTTACTTCACATTATATTATTTTCCCTCACTTCATTAGTACACCTGAACTGTCTTTAGTTTACTTGATTCATAAAATGTCTCTTTATACATCTCAGTGTTCACGTTCTGAAGAATTAACATGGTCTTAACAAAATATATTTCCCTCCCTTAACTTACTCAAGTGCGCACAGGAGACTGTAGTTTCCAAAACATCTATTTTTGTATCTTCGTTCAAACTGAAACTCAGTTGTGTCTGCTCCTTCTGCCACAGGTCGAATATGTCTTGAGTTGTGAAGAGTTTCACATTTGTATTATTTATTTTTGAAGCTACACAAATCTCGCAATTCATAAGAAAAAGAAAAGAGAACATTTAAAAATGTAAGTTGCACAGCTATGTTTTTTGTTCTTATCTCATTAATAATCTCAAGGCCCTTTTAGATGAACCTTGTGATCCACCCTTACAACCAGTTTGTTTTAGAATCATTATTCTGGCAGCTTTTACAATTTGATTATCGTTCGTCAGTTTAAATGCTTGTACTTTGTATTCAATCTAAATATTATTGAGTTTGCAGTTCTGCAATTTCCTTTTCGTATCTTTATCTCTCTCTTGCAATGGGCAGCCCGTTATTCATTCTTCATTGTAGTGTGTGTCATGTGTTGTGCCATCATCATCATTATTTCTTCATTTTTGCAGACTCATCGCCACCACACCTGTCTGTCACCACTCACTCCCTCCCCCCAGCTTTCTCCGAGGACACTGATGAGTTTAGTGACTTTCAGGGGCCTGTAGACGGCCCTGCCTCCTTCCCTCCGTCCTCCTCCACTTCCTCCACCTTTGGCTTTTCATCTCAGGCCCTCGCCCAGCCTTCGTCCTCTGCCCCCCCGACAGGTTTCTGTCAGGACGATGACGAGTTTAGTGACTTTGTTCAGGGTCCTCTCAATGCTTTCCCTCCCTCCAACTTCCACATGTCCTCTGAGGCCCAAGTCCAGCCTTCAGGTCTGTCCTCCACCTCTTCCTCCTCCCTCCCTCAGTCCCTCCCTGCCTCTGTGTCCATTCCCACTGATACCCAACACTCTGCTGTCAACACCAGCACCCAATCTACATGTCAAGGTAACTCCTTTTTCTTTGTTGACACCCCCCCTTCCCATCCTCATAGTTTACACCCAACCATTAACACTTTTTTTAACGTATAGAACTGCTTTCGTTGCTGATGCGTAATATTTCTGGATTGTGAGTTGGTTTTGGCCGGCGTTACAGTGTGAGAGCATGCAGCCAGCACAGCAGATGGCCTCATTACCCGAACCTTTAAAGTTACCAGACATCTCAAATAGGAACAACAAGGATGCGTAATCAATAAGAAGCCCATCTTGCTTCATCATTAGAAAGTGAAAATGTTTCTCAGTAGGTTTCAAACATATCGTAGCTGAATCCGTCATTCAAACTGAATCTGTTTTTTGGTTTTGATGGGAGACTGTCACACTCATGTGTCATCTGCCGTCTAATCTCTGGGATGAGCAGCTGCTCCGTGACAGCTCTCGGCCTCTAAACTATGAATGACAGGAAAGAGAGATCACCTTCTGTGCAGAGAAATACAACAGCTAGCCCTCAATCATCAAGTCTCATCCCCCAATTCCTCTGAGAGATTTCTGACCTAGTTGTTTAGCATCTCGAATAAGAAGATTAGATGGCCTCAGGATCAAGGAGAGAGACTTAAGGAATATTTCAAGAAGCTTACTGTGAAAAAATTATCATTTTTTTCTTGTTCAGATGATAAAGAATCAAAGTTGAAGGTTGTACACTGTTTATTGGCTCTTTGAAAATGTGCAAGGTGAAAATCAAGGAATAATACACTATATGCAAGCAGGAATGTAACAGGAACCCACGTATAGAGCAGCAAGCACATACATATACTGTAACCATCAAGATATAAAGGTTGATATTTGCTAAGATAACATTTCTTTCATTTGGTGGGGTATTAACCTACTACTCGGTAACCATGCTAATGAGCCCAGCCTCAGTTCATTTATGGACATGTTTGGATCTGCAAGCATGTAATCATCAAGTTATTTGAGAGGGAATATTAGGTAAACCAGCATCAACAAAAAACAAGACACACAATTTGGTTTTAAAATAGCTGGGAGATTTGAGTTGAAACCTTCAATTGCCCTTTGATTATTACTGCTACAGTATGAGCCATTAGAAGTCAGGAAACAGGAGAACTGCCTTTCCTAGATGTGACTCTGCCACATTGATAAAACAGCTCTACATCTCTGAACAGGAATGCTTTGATATATTACACAAGACCAAACACACACTTTTTGTTGAAGGTGTGGTTCTTTAGCAAATAAGTAAAAACTTAAATTGACTGTTAATCAAAAAAAGGGCCAAAAAGTAAATACTGTATCTCCCTAATCCCCCTAAAGCAACAACAAGTGTAACCTGGCTTTAGAAAATGTTTAATCTTCAACTGCCGTGTAAAGCCAGTGTGTGTTATCAAGAAATCTGTTCCTCATTCATCCCCTCAGGCCCGTCCCTGGAAGAGAAGCTATTCTCCTCATGTGATCTTTCTGCTGATAGGACGGCGCAGTTTAGCTTTAAATCCAGGCAGAGTCTGGCTGAAATGGGTCCTAGAACTAAAGTTACAACCCAGTTTCACTCCAGCAATAAAGCGAGGAACTGGGCTGCAGCCCCCGAGGACTTGAGCTCTGTCTTCGTCTCAGAAAAGCTACCTGAGGCTCCGGTGTCAGCGCCAGGCGCCCCCCCATCAGCTGCTGCCTCGTCTCCTCAAACCCGTAGTGACAGTGGTGAGAGAAGTGCCTGCTTATTAGATTTCATAGCTTCTTCTTCTCTCCCTTGCTTTGCCGCACACAATCAAGGCAGTAGTTTTCGTTCTGTCCTCGGGAAATATTTTCACTCTTTCTAACCCTGACCAAATAATTCTGCACCTTTTGCAGCAGCTAAATCTATTCTATCTCTTTGCATCAGGGGTGGGGAACCTTTTTCCTCTCAAGGGCCATTTCAATTTTGTCAACATCCTCCGAGGGCCGTACAAATTATTGATCTCTGCTTAAAAATACTAAAATCACAGCCCAGTCATTTGGCCTTTCTTTCATGCTGTGCAAAGAAAAAGCAACCTCTTAATCCAGATATTTTACCATGACTCGCGCATGCATGCACGTGCACGGTTGTGGCATGACCAGCAAAAGAGAAAGATATGGACACAAGATGTGTGCAAATGTATTTAGTTTCCTATCCATATGAACATATGTTGAACATGGTTGTAGAAAAAGCTTCTTATATTTGTTAGCATAGCTAGCTAACCAGATGCCAATAACAACAAAGTTATTGACTGTATGATCAGTATGACAGATGAGCAGATCGCCACTGGGCTTTCAACTAAGACACAGCCACGCAAAAACTGCGGCATGTGTACGGCTCCTTTATCTGAAGTGCCGGAGCGGCGTTCTGGTGCTCTCCACAGAACTACACCCCTGTCAGACGAGACATATACCACGTGATGACACGTTAGGCTTGTGTTGTGTTCAAGGACCCTGACCGTAGCCAGGAAAAACAGGCATTTAATTATTTTGCGGTCTAGATTTCTAGAATTTTTTTTTTCTTTTATGCCTGTGTTTATAAATTACCTCGAGGGCCGTACCAAATGGTCTCGCGGTCCGTATACGGCCCGGAGGCCGGAGGTTCCCCACCCCTGCTTTGGATCATAATTGGTTTAACATCATATTCTCCACTGGTCATTATACTATTTTAGTTTCTGAAATGAAATCATGCTGACATTTTCTTCACCTCTGAGATTATCATGCAGTGGCGGGATCTTTACATCTTCTCCTAGTCTCTGCTCTTATTTCACCCCGCTTGAAACCTTTGTCCAAATCTCGGTGGACGGGCCTTCTTATGTTGCCGCTCTCCGCACACATTGTGGAAATGGTCTGTTAAGTTCCTGAGGTGATAACTCAATAATCTGCTGTCTGTTCCCCCGCTGAGTAACACCCTCTGGCGCATGCTGACTGCTTTGGTTTAACAGGGATGCGCACAGGGATGGAGCCCAAACATAATCCGAGCTGATTGTGCATGCCACTTGGCCAATCCTTTGTGCTGTTATTTGTTTGTCTGTGTCCGTGTCCTCCGTGATATCCAGGGAAATAAAGAGGCGCCTCATGGAGACGGGGGAGATTTGTAATAACATTCATTTAACTGCCCAAGACTGATGGGAGTAAACAGATGCCTTGCACAATAACAGATGCCTTGTTAGGGACTGGAAACAAACTATAGCTCTTTTTCTTTTTAAATTATTATTAATCTATTGCAGAAAAAAGTGTTTTGGGTCAAGGTAAAGCACAATCTGATTTTCTTTACATGACAATCTCCTGTCTCTCAGAGTGATTTTTAGATGTCTGATGTGGCAGGACGCTTGTGATTCAGTGCAGGGGAGCATTACGTCTGCACAGAGCCTTCCTGACATCAATTGTAGGATTTTGTTGAGCTCGATACAAGCAGGGCTCAGCTGCCAAGAGGCTTGGCAAATCGTATGCCCGGACACGGCTTTTGCTATAACAACTAACTGTGTTTGTTTGCTTGTAACAGCAGGTGTTGCCGTGTATCCACAACAAGAGCACATCCAGCCCATGCTGCCAGCATGGGTTTACAACGACAGCCTCATCCCAGGTTAACATTATATATAATATCAGATTTACACTGTTTTGTGGAAAATTATTTTAATTTCCAATGAAGCCGATAACTGAGTTGTATTCCTGTCAATTTCTGGCATACACTAAAATGATCCTTTCTGTTTTTTTCGTAGAAATGTTCCAGAAGGTTCTTGAATTCACCATGACTCCTGCAGGGATAGACACAGCCAAGCTCTACCCCATACTAATGTCCTCAGGTCTTCCTAGGGAAGCACTGGGGCAAATCTGGGCGTCAGCCAACCGCACAACGCCTGGCATGCTGACCAAGGAGGAGCTCTACACTGTACTTGCACTAATTGGCGTGGCACAGGTAAACACCTCAGTCAAAACAAATGATCCCTTAGATCGACTTCATTAATCATCCCCCATGGTGTTCACAAAGTTGCGCCATGAACTCCATACTGAAATAAGATGAGTTTGAAGGGGGAGAAAGAGGTAGCGCATTGACTTAGTCCTGTGAAGCATTGTAAGCCCAATATATGGCTGAGTCCCTATCAGCCGAGTTTGGCAGCAACTTCTTATCATCCTTAGCCCGGACCTGTCACCGCCACCCCTGGGAGGATGCAATTCTGCAGGCAGATCACGCAAAACTGCATGGCAGATCACGCAAAACTGCATGCCACTGCTTCCATGAGAGGAATAATAAAACACCATTGTTGATGTAAACCTAGAGCATAAAAAGCAAGCACAAAAAAGTGCTCTCTCCTGGGGGTTAGAGTCTGACAGGGACACCTGTTCAAAAGGAACTTGACTATAGAACAATTATTTACATACAAACATCAGCCTTTTTTCCTATTTAAGTAATTATATGATGAAATCAGATCAAAAGGTTCCTTTAGCCGCTGTGCCATGACACTTCTAATGATTTAAATGAACAATTTATTATTCATTTGACAAGTTTTGTGTACGTGAGCAGGTGTTAGTAATGAGGTGGCATTGACTAATAAATACAAGTTATTTAACTATGTGCTCGATGAGTAGATTTGACTGGATGAATGCTCATTATGTTTTTGGATTTCCAGTTTTTAAGGATGGTCTTCTTGGCGATAGATAGGCCAACAAATAGTCGTTTTGTGTTTCTCAGTGCTATTTCAACCAAGGATGAATCATAATTATATATAATGAATGCACTTTTCCGTGGAACCGACCTAGGTGTATACAGACAACTGATTCTGTTGTACAGTTTTTTTATTGTAGCAGAAGTAGCAGTAAGTCGTCATGATGAATCTAATGATCGTAAATCTTCCTCATCCATTTTTTTCAATAGTTTTTTAATACAATTAAACTATAGCACCAAGGAATCATTTTTTGGTTTTGGTATTTTCATTAGATTTGTGGCAGTAAGAAAAACGTAATAATAATAAACATCACTTGTAATATACTTTAAACCTGTCTCCTTTGTTACAGAGTGGCCTCCCAACGATGAATGTAGAAATCCTCGGTCAGTTCCCTTCTCCACCTGTGCCCAACTTGCCGGCCCTGGCTATGGCCCTGGCCCCTGTCATGCACCAGCAGCAGATGATGACCAAGCCCCAGGTTTCCATGGCGATGGCCATGCCCACACCAGCACCACCAGTCATGACCATGAAACCCACAGCCCCCGCTCCAGCCCCCTCAAACACTAACTTCATTGCCAGTTTCCCTGCTGCACAGGTAACAAGGTCATGCTTTAGTTCTGAATGTTCCTTTAGTTCTGAATGTTCCTTTAGTCCTGAATGTTCCTTTAGTTCTGAATGTTCCTTTAGTTCTGAATGTTCCTTTATGCTACGTTCACACCGGACGCGATGCGAATATTCGCTTCGCTCTAAACGCTCCTATCGCATCGCTCTAGTCGCTCGAGTTTCACCGCGGCTGCCGGCTCGCATCATTCAAACAAGACGCGCTGGCTCGGGAGCTACAACTACAACAAAATGAACATATTTTACCGTGATTAAATTGTAATACACGTTTCTAAATGATGCCGACGTAACAACATACTGATGGCGGTTAGTAAAAACCATGAATTAATGCTTGACAAGTCTGCAGGCAAAAACCTTTTAAAATGCTTGTTTTCTGAATGGAGATTGGGTCGACCAGGCTAAGCTAACGTTGTATATGCTCACTCCACACTCATAACAACGGCCTACAGACATAAATAAGCCAGCAACTGTATTCACCATGACACAGACAGTCTGGTTTGTTCTTGTTTAACTTGTGTCCAGTTTCTGAACAGATATGAGGAGCTGTGATCTCTGTGTGCTAACTGCTAACAGCTAATGGCTGATGTTTTCTGGTTTAACGTCAGTAACGGCAGGCTGAGATCCTCACCGCTGATTGGCTACCGCGAAAACGCGCCACGTGAATTTGGCGCTCGAGTTAAAAAAATTGAACTCTCGCGTTTGACGCGGCCCCCTTCAATCGCCTCAATCGCGTGATTCGCGCCGCGTCCACCGCTTCATGCGCGCCGTCGAAGCGAATTCGAGTCTGATCGTGTCTCTGCATTGACTTTACATGTAATCGCGCCGCCCCCAAACGTTGCATCGCGTCCGGTGTGAACGTAGCATAAGTCCTGAATGTTCCTTTAGTCCTGAATGTTCCTTTAGTCCTGAATGTTCCTTTAGTTCTGAATGTTCCTTTAGTTCTGAATGTTCCTTTAGTCCTGAATGTTCCTTTAGTCCTGCCTTTAGTTCTGAATGTTCCTTTAGTCCTGAATGTTCCTTTAGTCCTGCCTTTAGTTCTGAATGTTCCTTTAGGGTGCGTTCACACCTGCCTTGTATAGTCCGGTTGAATCGAACCCTGGTGCATTTAGCCGCTTGGTGCGGTTCATTTGGGTCGGTGTGAACACAATCTGAGACCTCTTAAGGGAACTAAACAACCGGACTCTGGTCCGGTAAAATAGGTGGTCTCGGAGCGCTTGCTAGTGAACTCTGGAGCGGTTTATTGCTGGTGTGAACACAATCCGCACCAAAACATAGGAAGCGTAGTATTTACGTGTCACAAGAACGCGGATATCTTCAAAATCTTTAGCGAAAGACTCTTTCAAGACATCCGCGGTTGTTTAGTTAAGTAAAAATTCTCTGTCAACTAGGCCTACATAAAAGTAATGAATGAATGTTTATTTATATAGCCCAATATCACAAATGTTACACTTGTCTCAGTGGACTTCACAGTTTGTACAGAATATCAGTATGACAATACGACACCCTCTGTCCTTAGACCCTCACATCGTACAAGGAAAAACTTCCGAAGAAACCCACAGTTTAAAGGGAAAATGGGAGAAACCTCAGGGAGAGCAACAGAGGAGGGATCCCTCTCCCAGGACGGACAGACGTGCAATAGATGCCGTGTGTAAATTGAAAAGATAATACATTTGCAACATAGGTAGTCCAAATGTTTGGAAATGCATGTCAGTAAGAACACCTGTCGTCGGTGAAACGCCCCTCCTTACTGCAGAACGTCTCTCATTGTGTATGTGCTATAATGTTTTTTAACGGACGTTGTCTGATTTATATAATCATATGCGCGGGCCGCTAGTGTCTGTTGATCTCCAGATTAACAACAGCATGAGAATAACCTGCCGAAAGTGTTGATGCTCCATGGCGGAGGCTCCGGTAGAAATTGCCGGGATTTGCGTTTTCACCATAGAGGTTTTTACCCCCTTAATGTCTGACCAATGGTTGAACAGCATTTCCGTGCACATGACTTGTGTTTAAAGTTTAAAGTTTATAGTCCGTTTGAGTTTTTGTGTGAACGCAAACCGAACCTTCTGAAAAATGAAACAATGTAACAAACTGTGGTCTGGTGCGCACCAGAGAGCGGACTATTAGGTGTGAATGCACCTTAGTCCTGAATGTTCCTTTAGTCCTGCCTTTAGTTCTGAATGTTCCTTTAGACCTGAATGTTCCTTTAGTCCTGAATGTTCCTTTAGTCCTGAATGTGCCTTTAGTTCTGAATGTTCCTAGTTCTGAATGTTCCTTTAGTCCTGAATGTTCCTTTAGTTCTGAATGTTCCTTTAGTCCTGAATGTTCCTAGTTCTGAATGTTCCTTTAGTTCTGAATGTTCCTTTAGTTCTGAATGTTCCTTTAGTTCTGAATGTTCCTTTAGTCCTGAATGTTCCTTTAGTTCTGAATGTTCCTTTAGTCCTGAATGTTCCTTTAGTCCTGAATGTTCCTTTAGACCTGAATGTTCCTTTAGTCCTGAATGTTCCTTTAGTTCTGAATGTTCCTTTAGTCCTGAATGTTCCTTTAGTCCTGAATGTTCCTTTAGTTCTGAATGTTCCTTTAGTCCTGAATGTTCCTTTAGTTCTGAATGTTCCTTTAGTCCTGAATGTTCCTTTAGTCCTGAATGTTCCTTTAGTTCTGAATGTTCCTTTAGTCCTGAATGTTCCTTTAGTCCTGAATGTTCCTTAAGTCCTGAATGTTCCTTTAGACCTGAATGTTCCTTTAGTCCTGCCTTTAGTTCTGAATGTTCCTTTAGTCCTGAATGTTCCTTTAGTCCTGCCTTTAGTTCTGAATGTTCCTTTAGTCCTGAATGTTCCTTTAGTCCTGAATGTTCCTTTAGTTCTGAATGTTCCTTTAGTCCTGAATGTTCCTTTAGTCCTGAATGTTCCTTTAGTTCTGAATGTTCCTTTAGTCCTGAATGTTCCTTTAGTCCTGAATGTTCCTTTAGTCCTGAATGTTCCTTTAGTCCTGAATGTTCCTTTAGACCTGAATGTTCCTTTAGTCCTGCCTTTAGTTCTGAATGTTCCTTTAGTCCTGAATGTTCCTTTAGTCCTGAATGTTCCTTAAGTCCTGAATGTTCCTTTAGTCCTGAATGTTCCTTTAGTCCTGCCTTTAGTTCTGAATGTTCCTTTAGTCCTGAATGTTCCTTTAGTCCTGAATGTTCCTTTAGTTCTGAATGTTCCTTTAGTCCTGAATGTTCCTTTAGTCCTGAATGTTCCTTTAGTTCTGAATGTTCCTTTAGTCCTGAATGTTCCTTTAGTTCTGAATGTTCCTTTAGTCCTGAATGTGCCTTTAGTTCTGAATGTTCCTAGTTCTGAATGTTCCTTTAGTCCTGAATGTTCCTTTAGTTCTGAATGTTCCTTTAGTCCTGAATGTGCCTTTAGTTCTGAATGTTCCTAGTTCTGAATGTTCCTTTAGTTCTGAATGTTCCTTTAGTCCTGAATGTTCCTTTAGTCCTGAATGTTCCTTTAGTCCTGAATGTTCCTTTAGTTCTGAATGTTCCTTTAGTAGATCTCAGCTGATTTACTAACACTCTGTTGGCTCAGGGGACCAAAGCCGATGACGACGACTTCCAGGACTTCCAGGAGGCTCCGAAGGCAGGAGCAGGAGAACCACCCTTCACTGAGTTTCAGGGGGAGTCCGGTGGAAGCTTCCCCCCCACCATCGCACCTCAGCATCAGAACATGTAAGGGCTGTGAGTGCAATTGAGACGCAGAGTAGGATTAATGATTAATTAACTATAATTACATATTTCGATACTGCAAAAAAAAAAATGTATTCCATCCAATTAGCTATATCTTAAAAAGCTAAAGGTTGTAGATTTTCACTGCCTGAAATGACCCTTATGCTGAGTTTACATTTCAGGAAATGCATGAAAGTATTTAGTATTCCTCATTATTTCTGTCTCCTTTCACACTGGAACTAGTTGTACTTTTATGCAGAAAGAGATGGAAAAGTTTCCATTAATCAGGGTCCAATATTCAGCCCTTTTTTGCTATTTATAGCTGAGCTATTCTGCATAATATTTGTGTCTTCTTGCTTTGTCTTTCTTGCAAACTGCACAGTCAGGCACACTGTCTTAATATCTCATAATAACCTCTCTAGAATAGCAATGAGATTGAGTCATCACTTAATGAATTCATTTCAGTGGACAGTAGATAAGCTCATTTTTTATATTACTTTCCAAGCCCCTTTGGAGATACTTCCCTTCCACAAAGAGAAAGCTGAAAGGCAGTTATCCTTTCTAAGACAAAGAGAAAGAAGGACAAAAATACCTCATATCTAAGTTGTGTGGGTGTTTTAGAATTCTTCCTATTTCTCCTCTGAAAACATACACTCTTGACTGTTTCAGCAATAAAAGAAGAATTCCCCACAGCCTGAGATCGCTGTCTAATTAAATGAGAAGCTGAGAAGCTCATGTTGGTATGGCAGACATAACTTACTGTCAGATGTGCTACAGAGAGAAGAAACTCGTGTTCGCTGGAGTGTGGCTTTCTTTGGTGTTTTGTATTCAAGTATCTAAAAAAATCAGCTACTTTTTACATTTTTATTTTAAAAAAAAGGTTGTTTCTCACAGTGGCTGCAAAACAACACAAATGGAAATACAAATCGTTGAATTGCTTGTGATACATACTGGAACCACGGAAAAGTTATACTTTTAAAATCAAAATCCTTATTTTATTTTCTAGTGATTTAGATCCCTCGAATGGTATCAATCTTATTTTTTAACTCTGAATAAGAAAGCAACTAAGTAAACTCCCCAAAATAAAAAACTGTTCTTTTAAATTTAAGTTGATTTAAAGGGGACCTATCATGCAAAATGCACTTTTGTACATCTTTTATACATGAATATTTGTCCCCGGTGTTCCAGGGAACTCACCAAGTGTCAGAAAATACAACCCTCTCTTTTCCTCCATACCCAAATCTTTTAAAAAACGGGGCTACAACGAGCGGATACAGATTCCATCCGACCCGACGTCAGCATAGTGGGCGGTGACGCTCTGCCTACATGGGCAACGCTCCACCTATCAGGAGAATGAGAAGTTGCCGTGGCATGGTAACAGCATGGTAACAGCATGGTAACAGCATGGTAACATGACGCTCGTGTCTCGCCCCCTCCTTTGCAGGGGGGGCGTGGTCAGCTGCAGCTCATTTGCCACAGAATCAGCCCTTGTGAAGACAGGGCTGGAATAGAGCAAAATGAGGCATGGCTAAAATGCATGATCTGTTTGGTATTTTGAAAAAAAAACTTCACAGACATGTTTTATATAGGTATGGCCCTACAATATATTATTCAAATATAGCATGATAGGTCCACTTTAAGTCAAGGTATATGTAATGGACAAGGGATTACATTATTTTATTTATTTGATGATTTTGTATTTTCTTTCTATGTGTTTTGTTTTTTTAATCTATGTTCGCTTGTTTGTTTACTTTAGTCGACATGCCTTTTTTTTCTTCTTATAATTGAGATGAGGTGCATAATGCCACACATTGCCAGCCTTCAGTGGTAATTGAACATACCGGCATTCAGTATTTTCATGTAAAAAGCTAAATGATAGATTATATTTCCCTCAGCTTCCATTATCGTCACAATAAAGCTTTTAACAAACATTCACCAAACTTGTGAGCGTGGAGCAAATGTTCACTCAGCTTATGGGGATTAAACTCTTCTTTTGAACTATTCCTCGTGTCTGACAGAAGCCTTTGTGTCCCTGCAGTGCGCCCGCCTTGCTGACTCCAGTGTCTGGGTCCTCGTCCGCCTCCATCACAGCCTCTGATAAGTACGCGGTCTTCAAGCAGCTGTCTGTGGATCAGCCTGCAGAGCCCACACCCCCCGTCTCAGGTACCTTCTAAACCTCACATAGAGTGGACATGGATTTGTTAGGAACAATATTTGCTCTCCATGTAATGCTGCAGCCAAGGCAAGGCCAGGCAAGTGTATTTATACAGCACCTTTTCAACACAAGGCAATTCAAAGTGCTTTACAAAAATGAAAGACATTAAGAGCATTAAGAAATAGTGCAGCAGAAACATTTTATAAAATGACAGTGAACCCTGGGGAAAAAAGCAGGTTAGGAAGGGAAGGGAAAATGTGATCCCTAGATATTTAAACTAACTCATAGATAATGTCAATAGTGAGTAATAAGGCAACTAATACTTCTCAAAGTCTAATATATTCAACCTCAATCCAGCTTTTTTATTACTTATTCAATAACATTGGTCCCTTAAATGCTACTACTGCAACCTAATGTGTACTTTAATAGTAATGCAGTGGAAATGATTCCCAAAGCAGCCAATATGAGGACACAGTTTTGTTGGTACCGTTTTAACTTCTTGCCATAGCAGACTGTAATAAGTGTACAACTGCTTCTCTGTTTATTCATTTGTTCAAACTTTATCCATTGTTTCTCTGTGTTTTGAACCAGATGGAGGAGACAAATACAGTGTGTTCAGACAGCTCGAGCCACCTGTTGACAAGAAACCATTTGGTAAGAAACTCAGCCCCACTTTCTTTTACTTTCAATAATTTTCTGTCTAAAACACTTAGAAATACTCAAAACATGGCGTTAGTATGAGACAATTCTTTGCAAAATGTCAAAGAGGACTTGTTGGGCTCTGAGATGGTCCCTAGTGTGAGATTTCCTCTAGTTAAGACTTCTTTTATAACTCGGGGAAAGTCAGGTCACTACAATGCCATGTTTAATGCAAACCTTTTTACGCTGTATCCTGTTTTGCAAGCCTGCCGTGTTGATACCAGTATGTTTCCCCTCCCTGTTTCATTAGAACAGTTTCCGATGGGGACAGCTCTTACAACTCCAGTAAGTCATGGTTTGCGGTGACCTTCCCTTGGCATTGTCAGGCTCCATCTCCTTAATGAGCCCATTAGTTATCTCTTTTCCACCGTACAGCGGCAGTGTGAACAGATTCTCTGTTTCAGTCCATGCATATCTTATACTGCTGAGGATGAACAAGCACTGAAACCCTTTTCAGACTTTTTCTTTGTGTTTTATTCAGTACATTTTTTTGAAATATTTCAGACAAATATATTCTTTTTCTGCTGCTCTTTTATACTTTGTGTCATTTTTCTCCTTGCAAAAACACATCCAACTTAACTGGTAATTTCCGTTCCTATTGAGTTTCATTAATTTATCTACAATAAAATAAAACAGCCCACTCTATATACAGTAATGATAACAAAAGGTACAAACTGTTAAAAATTATCGTTAAGACTCACATCATTGTATAGTTATACAATATAAGCAAAACACACAAATCCTTATATGGCTCACATAGCTACTCAAGTACACCGTCTAACATATTCTGACTCATTCTGTTGGCGACATTTATTTTTACTTTTCAGTATTACACTTTATTGTATTGTACAATATAAAAACTCATATATATATATATATGTTGCTGGTGTATAATCAAAGGATATATTTCTTCTAATATTATAAATGGTGGTCTCCGAGGGCTGTGTTACTTCAATGGGAGAAATATTCACCTTGAAAGTTGAGGACTTTCAAAGACAACAAGACAACAAGACAAAATAACTTGTTAAGATGGACTTTATTTTTGCAGAGTTGTTTCATCATGTTCTGTTTTTCAATGTAAACAGGTCTTTGCATGGTTGTGCGGGACTGTGTGTCTTTAGATGACGTAGGTTTTTGTGCAGTGATGTAGCATGCGGTTGGTTGGACACTCATTGACCAACAGAGTCATAAATAATCCAGCGTCTTCCTTTCTTTTAGGATATAAGAAGTTATGCAATCATGGCTGGTTCAGCTGTCAGTTACCCTTATAGTCGGCTATGATGTTTATTTTATATTAAAACGTTGTCTTTGGTTCGCAGGGGAAGGATTTGCAGATTTCAAGTCTGTCAGCGCTGATGATGGCTTCACAGACTTTAAAACCGCGGACAGCGTTTCTCCATTAGAACCTTCAGACCAGGCCAAGATCTTTCAACCTGCCTTCCCTTCTGCTTTCCCAACCTCTCAGTCTCTCCAGCAGCTCCCACAGCAGCAGCAGCCACCAGTGTCTCTTTCTCAGTCCAAAAATCCTCTCAACATGGCCGACCTGGACCTTTTCTCTTCTATAGCTCCTTCTGTTACTGCCCCCTCTGAGACAAAACCCAGCACATTCCCCTCAGTGTCCGTGCCCCCCTCTCTAGTGCTCCTACCAGGTGGAGCCAAACCTCCAGGGGGGGGTACGGATGATTTTGGGGATTTCGCCCTTTTTGGCACGGCCTCTGATGCCGCTCAAGCTTCAGCCGCAGGAGGAGCTGTGGCAGTGCCTCAGGACGACTTTGCAGACTTCATGGCATTTGGCAGTTCTGGTGGGGAGCCTAAAGGCGAGTGCGGCAGTGTGGGGGTCCCGGGGGGGGAGACCTCCACTCAGCAGAGGCCTCAGCAGGGCTCAGACAAGTATGACGTGTTCAAACAGCTGTCTCTGGAGGGAGGCCTGACCTACGAGGACACTAAGGAGAGCGGCGGCGGCTCCTACTCCTCTCTCAAGAGTGACACTGATGACTTTGCCGACTTTCAGTCATCCAAGTTTTGCACTGCGCTCGGGGCCTCGGAAAAGACTCTGGTGGACAAGGTGGCCGCCTTCAAACAGGCCAAAGAGGACTCGGCTTCTGTCAAGTCCCTGGACCTCCCGTCCATCGGGGGGAGCAGCGTAGGAAAGGATGACTCGGAGGACGCGCTCTCAGTGCAGCTGGACATGAAGCTCTCGGACATGGGCGGAGACCTGAAACACGTGATGTCGGACAGCTCTCTGGATCTGCCGGGTCTCTCGGCCCACCAGCCCCCCGCTACAGGTGAGGAATTAGTGCGATTGCTCTGGTGAGGCCCCGTCACACGCAGTATTAGATCCAAGGGGCCTCTCCTCCTCAGTGCCCTCTTGAGACAAACTAACAGGAGGGCAAAGTAATGAGGACCTAATTAAATGTAATATGCTCAAATACTGAAGACAGACGCAACACTACATGAATAACATATCAGATTAGACGCATCATTTAGTCCATTCTACATTTCATCATTCATCTCATTTATTTATGTTTTTATTTATGTATTTATTCCAATCCTTAGTTCCTTCCTCCCTCTTTTGATTTCCTCCCTCCCTACACTCGTATTATAATCGTAATGACTGAAAGGTCCTGGCCCATATCTCTTATTTATTTTCAAACGATCGGTGGTTGGTTTTGATGTGTTGGCCATCTTAGTTCATAGGGAAGGTCTGCGGCTGCTGTCTGTGCGGCTCGGATAAGCTCCCTCCGGTGTGCTTTTTGTAGAGGCGTGCGTGTTGTTGACGTGCCATGCAATCAAACGGAGAGGTTGAATTGAATACCAACAAGTACAGAGATTATTACGGTGGCGAATGCGATCCTGTCTTATTTATTTTATCACAGGTTTTGCACAATGGGCTAATGGGATAAAGGCATTGTCTGTAAGCCATCATTCACCTTCTAACGCTAGGCATTAGGTTGGTGCTGAGTGCGTAACATCATTTTGATTTGCTGAACATTAATTGTTTCTTTACATAGTAAACAAGCTATTTTGAAATAGAGCAACAGTTAATGTGTCACAAATGAAGCTGGGATGTTGGCCGCATCATAGAGGATGCTATTATCAGGCCGTTGAATGTGAATGTGCACATATTCGTCTTTATATACGTCCGGTATTGTATTACCCTGCAGTATTTTGAAACATCCCATGCAGTATTCTTTCAATCAAATGGCCCTCTAATTATGGGATGTTTTCATAGAAGTGTGTTGACTCTTTCCCCCCTACCTCATGTCCATGAAAGTGAAGATACATTTTAAATTGTGTTGTTGATGGGTTTATTATTTATTGAAAGACATTCTACCCAGTTTTGGTATTAATCAGGTTATGCACATTTCAGCTCTCCCTCCAGTGGTTATCATTTATTCATCGAGCATTTCACCTTCCATGGCTCATGTTACACAGGAAACATTCAACATCAGTTCCTCATATAACCTGAGGCGGCAGGCAACCGTTGTGAAGCCTTGCAACTCAAAACATTTTAGTTTTTCATTTTTTTTACTTTTCTTGGAGGCGTTTTTGCTACTGCTTATATCAGTGCCCAGTTTAACATTGATACATTCCCAGAACAGCTGCTCCACCTCGCCCTGTTTTCTCTTGTTTATCTGATGTTTTGTTCTCCGAGAGCTCTGGGACTGACCTGTTGTTAAAGTGTAGCAGGCCGAGCACCTCATTATGCTTTGCACTGTGTTATCAGACATGTTTGTAATCTTAAAGAGACAGTATTTTTTTTTTTTTAAAGGTTCCTTTTGAGGAATCTGATTCTATTTATTTACTCATTTAAAAATGATTTGACTGTTATCTGTGATACTGCGGCATGTATTATCACGTGTGGCTCTACGGTCTGGCTCTCTGAGAACATAATGACGTTAGTATTACCCTTCCTGCCTTGCTTTTTGCTGCAGTGTGCCTGCCTTTACAATTTGTGAAATTGACAAGAAAATAATACAGAATACCGTTTTCTGCATAACAGCAAGCTGTTTTTATGAAAGGACAAGATGTATACAGATTTAATAGTGTATTTTTAATACAGGAATATGAGCTCTTATTATGAAAGACTCCTTGATCTTGTTGTGATTTGCAAATTATGTAAATTAGCCTTCAGTATTTAGTAAGATGACAATATTTTAGGTTACCATTCCAAACCAAACATTGTTGTCTTAATGACTTATGATGTGCTATTATTTAGGGGATCATAAGAGTTTGTGCACATTACCCTGCTTTGACAACAAGTGCTGTAGCAAAGAAAAAGGATACTGTCTCTTTAAATCTGTTTATGCATCTGTGATTGGATGTAATTAAAACCCTATCTGGGATGTCAGGTTAAAGGATGGCCCTCTTTGTCTTCTGTAACCCTTTGAGCACTTGAACAAGACAATGTCATTTTGTACGCAGATCAATGCAGGCATTGTGACCATCTCATTTGCTATTGGAATATAAACCAGGACACAAATCCTATTTGATAATTGTAAATGTATAAAGATGGCAGCCTCTTAAATTGTGAAGTCCTCACTGCTCCTAAAGTGCAGTACACAGCCTTTCCAAACAAGCATTGATCCCCCCCCAGGTCCTCAAAGGGTTAATGCTTCCTGCCTTGAGCTTGCAATATGTTTTCGACCTGGCTTTTCAAGTGTTCTGTACTCTTATCTTTTCCAAAACACCTGTTGCTTTACGTCCTAATGGGTAAAACAAAGTCTGTCATCTCCCCAGAACTGATTGTAGTCTGTCAATGTGCCTTCTCATTCTAGTTCCTGCTTCTATATCCTCCGATTATCTTCCTTTGACCTTCTGGCTGTTTGTTTTCTCACGTTTAACCCTGAATCTGCATGCCCTTGTATACTAAATGACTGGAATCTAATTTTACAAGTGTAAGTTTGACAAACCTCTTGTAATAATAGAGCTCTTTCACAGTACTGTGTGACCTTTCTCTCTTTCTCTCTACTCACACTGTCGTAATAAACATTACTGTTGGTATTGCTCAAATGCGTACCGTCTTTATTTTTTCTCCTTTCCTTTCTTGAGATGCCACAAATTGATCTAATGACACAAAGCGTACAGCACTAGGTCCTTGTCAATTTCACAAATTGCTTTTTGTATCTATGGGGCTGTGTCATGCAACATAGGAAGGGTTTAACAAGGTCAACGGGTGTGGGGGTGTGTGTATGTGCGTGTGTGTCAGTGAGTATTAGTCGATCTCACATAACTGTTTCCTGTCCACACAGTTTAAGGAACAGAGCAGAAGTAGTGACAGGGAATATATGTTATTGATGTTGTTTGAGCCTTGAGACAAAATCCTTCAGGTTCCACTTAGTTTACAGAGATCAGCTTTTATTGTGGTTAGGAGAGCTGTTTGTCACAAATCAGAACAGCAAGTGTTGCCAGTGAAAAGAGAAAGGCACCGTTAGTATTTCTTGTGTTTCACCAAAATGATGGCAGTATTATATGTTTTGAACATGATTCAGCTCACACATCAAAACAACTTGTTTACTGTTTCCGAGGTCATTTGTTAAAACAGAACTCTCTAAAATGTGGGTGAGGGTATTCATTAGTGTTACAACAACTATCATTAGATACAATAATAATAGAGGTGTCTGCATTGTAGATATGCTGAGTTACAGTGTATGTGATTGCCTGTGTATTTCACAGTTTACTTTCACATGATTTTGAATGACACAATATCTGAAGGGGGTTATTTGACGATACATCTCATCAGTCCACTATTGCTACACGGAATAGATGATGCTACATAATATGACAGGGAAGTTATAGGATCAGTTCTCCCAAAATAACAAAATATGTCATGTTTGGAGACCTCTGTGACAATTTGGCACAATGATTGAAAAATGCTGTATCAATTATTCAACTGAAAAATCTCCTTTAAAAACACTTTGCTCCAGGTCATCCACAGAGAACTGCATCACATGGACTCTGTCTCAGGTTACAAGTCAGTCAAATGTGCAGAATATCAAAGGAAACCTGGGATATTGTTTTTAGAAAGGAGGTTTCTGTCTTTGTTTGGAATTCTCAATCCTGTTAGCACCAAAAACAACATCTGATGAACTTGTATTTTATTGGCTGAAGGTGGAAATGTCAGACAGATATATCAAAACCTGTCTGCAGGTCAAGGCTTCACTTGTAGGTGAAGATAGCTAATACACACAAGGAGCCTAAAATAGATGACGTAGTGATAATCCAATACATATCTCAGTCCTTCTTCCAGGCTCATTAATCGACCTCCTATCATGACAGCATCTATTCCTAGGAACCACCGGTATGTCTGTGTTGTCATTACAGATGGAGACGACATGAAATTTGACCCCTTTGGGACCTCTGCTCTCAGCACGCTGGCCAGCTATGACTGGTCAGACCGGGAGGAATGTCTGCCTGAGGTCCGAAAGCCTCAGGGCTTTGAAGGAGCTCCCCTTCCATCTTTAGTGCCAGCTCAGAGGAAGGAGCTGACCTTTGGCAGCACGGAAAACATCGCAAGCCGCTCCGTAGCAAAGATCACAACCTCCTTCGCCACCGAGGACAGCTCATCCACAGACGACAGGTTTGAAGCCTTTGCTGATTTTGGCTCCAGCGAACAGGGAGGTGTGGATGACGAGGACGACTTTGGGGATTTTGCCAGCACTGTTTCTGAAAAGTCCGACTCGCCCGCCGCCACCGCTGAGGCCGGCTCCGAGGGGAACCAGAGCGAGGCCTCTGATGAGTTTGGAGCCTTCCAGGCGGACAAGCCTAAGTTTGGCAAGTCTGACTTCCTCAAAGCCAGCGCTCAGACCAAAGTCAAGTCCAGTGAGGAGATGATCAAGAACGAACTGGCGACCTTTGACCTGTGTGTTCAAGGTGAGCTTCAACATTCATTTATCTATATACTTTTGGTTCTGAGAACATTTGATTGACAGTTTTTCTCAATAATCAGCCATTTAATTGATCAAGAATACAGTCATTATTGCAGCCCTAAATCTGTCGTTTAGAGAAGAAGAAGAAGAAGACATCCTTTCGTAATCCCTCACAGGGAAATATCGTTCTCCACTCTGTTGTGTTTACACACATAGCACACACAGGGAGGATATACATGCACAAACACAGAGGATAAAGTTTCAAGGTTAGGTGCCTTGCTCAAGGGCTCCTCGGCAGTGGCCCAGGAGGTGAACTGGCACCTCTCCAGCTACCAGCTAATCCGATTTTTGTTGTTGTTGGTCCGATCGGGACGTGAACCGGCGACCTTTCGGTCCCTAGAGACTGAGCCACTGCCGCCTTAGAGCATGTCTACTTTTAAATTGAAAGATGCCTCACACAATTTACTAGAACTCAAGATTATATATTTAAACAGTTATTTCCAAAATCCAAAATGACTCGGTTTACAATAATATTTCAAGGATTAAAAGCTGGAGTAGATGAATGTGTGCATGCTCTCTACCAATTTGCTGAAACGCTATAAACCTGTGGCTCAAAAAAAGACAACAACACTGTCACTCCTCTCTGCCACCCACCCCCACATGTTAGGCCCCTCAGATCTGTAATGAGGCTGTCAGACGTTAGATGGCAGTGTTGAGATGACCGCCCCGCTCTAATGGCAGTGACTGCTGAGATGGATTAGCAGAGGCCAAGAAATCCATGAGCACAAATTAACCGTATCCATCAAAAGGCTGTTCTTTTTTAAATGCTGTTTGCTGGTGTCATGCTCCACGAATAATTGATCAGCCTTTCCTGCACGGTGATAAAAGCTAATTTGCCCAATAGATTTATCTCCCTGTTCTGCGATAAATGTGTGTGAGGAAGAGGGCTCTACTTTCTCCTCCTCGCCCAGTGGAACAGTAATCTGATCATGGTGGAGCCTCTGGGTTCTGTGGAGGATGACGCATGTCTCTGTGGGTGGTGGAGGAGTTTGAGGAGGGTACATTACCTGTGTCTGGACAACACACACACACATACACTAACTGCCAGCCCCACTGGAATAGCCCGTGTTTGTTGTGGTACCCTGCCAGGATTTGTCCGTCTGTGAGTCCCTATGAATAATTCATACCTGAATATTTGTGCTTCTGTTTTGTAAGCAATTATTGTTTGTCACAAATGAAGTATTTACTCATGCTGTCCTTGTCCGGGTGGAATTAGCCATAACAGAATGGAAGTATAATGATTGCCAACAAAACAGGTGCATATCTCATCAACATGGGATGCTGAATTGATAGCAGAAAAAGTTATTTAATATATTTGTGGTTTTCACTATCCTAACAGTCTCCTGTCTTTGCCTTAGGCTCCCACAAACGCAGTCACAGTCTGGGCGATAAGGAGATTGGGCGTTCCCCCCCCTCTCCGGCTCCAGAGCAGCCTTTCAGAGACCGATCCAACACCCTGAGCGAGAAGCCCGCCCTACCTGTCATCAGGGACAAGTACAAGGACTTGACTGGGGAGGTGGAGGTGAGGAGGGCCGCGCGTTAAACCACATGTTAGCGGCGTTATCACCAACAATATCAGCGCAGTACTCAGGACTGTGAAATGCTACAGAAATGTTCCTCAGTTCTCTTTTTCCTTTGTGTTCATTTGAGATATGTTTGTGCTCGTTTGTTGCAGGAGAGCGAGCGCTACGCATACGAGTGGCAAAGGTGTCTGGAAAGTGCTCTGGAGGTTTGTTTTTGTTTGTGTGCTGTGTCTGACCTCATAGTGAGAGTGACAATACAAACATAGTAGACTCATTAAGATAACCAAAAGGCGCCGAGAGGTTTTCAACCTGAGGACATTTTTCCTAACACATTTGTTTCGGGATAAATCATTTTCTTCCCCCTGCAAACGCCTTAATGATTTCCATTTTAGTTTTTGTATGTAAAATGTCGCAAAGCTGAATATCTGACAGAAGAAAACATAACATAAATATATAACACTGTCTTGCCTTTACCTGAAATATTTGTATTCACGAGAGTACAGGATTTTCTTATTATTTTATTTATGTTTTTTAAAGAGAACACTTATTGTGAGGGTGGCAATCACAGTAAAAGTGTTTTTGGCCAAAAAACAAGACTGTTCAATCAAACTTTGTGGTAATTTGTCAAAAAACTCACATGCATACATAAGGCATATACTACTTGACAAAGGTTAATATTGTAATTGCAAATGTATACAGTGTGTGTGTAAAATGATATATATATAATTGTAGCTTCTGTCTCCTCTCATTAAGGTCATCACCAAAGCCAACAACATCCTGAACAGCATCAGCAGCTCCGCTGTGTGCACCGAGGTCATCCAGTCTGCTCAGGGCATGGAGTACCTGCTGGGTGAGGAAACACTCTCACACACACACGCACGCACACACTACTATAAAGAAGCCAGCAGGACTAGCTGTATAGTGTGAACCAGAGGCTGTTAAAGAGGCCTTACACCTCCTGAAGGACAGAGAGGACAGACAGTGAGCTCTGGTGGGATGTGTTATCCCAGCGTGCTCTGAGGTCCTGCTCCCTTAGTGTGCCTCTCTGCTTTTAACGAGCTGTGACTGGAAAACATGTCACAGCTCGGCACGAACACAGTTGTGTGAAAATGGGACAAAAACACCAACCCAACATGTTTTTGTGATTTTTTGTACTTGTGTATTTCCTGTTACAGGTGTGGTGGAGGTGTATCGTGTCACCAGGCGTGTGGAGCTGGGCGTCAAGGCGACGGCTGTGTGCTCCGAGAAGCTGCAGCAGCTGCTGAAGGACATCAGCCGCGTGTGGAACAATCTCATGGGCTTCATGTCGCTGGCCAAGCTCGCTGTAAGACACTCAAACAAAAGGAGATCTTTCTCTAGAGCACAGGACAGTTTTATAATGAAGCTCCCAAACACATAAAAAGAAGCTTTAAAAACATGTTTGTAGTGGCGAAATAAAACAGAAAATAAACTCAAACTGAAATTGCCTCTGAGATACCAGGAAGCAAATCTAACGCAGTAAAAATAATCCAATGTCCATGCCAAAGTATCCTTTCTTGCATTGATTTGGTTGTATTCCAATAATACAATACATCAAGAATAATAGTTTCGCCTGTGGCTTTTCCTTAGTTTTCCCTGGTAAAAAACCATATGCTCGTGATGGTATAATAATCACCAGATCACCCAGTGCCCAAAACCGCCTTCAAAATAAAAATATATTTAACGATGATTCATTTAATATTAACATAAGCAGCTAGAGAATAAGTGTTTTAATAAATAAATAATATGAATCAATATATTGCTCCAACGATGTTCAAACTCTTCAAGTTCAGGTACACACATACACATGTGGCTGCCAATGGCATAATGAAATAATAGCAAATCCAATATCAGCAGTCCATTAGCTCAAAATCAATGATTCATTGATTTGTTTGCGATGGAGCTGAGCTTTCAGATAGGTCAGCCTTCAGATTCAATGGGAGGACAAGAATTGTATAGATTTATTTATTCAGCTGTCTGCTACCGTCTGTAAAGCAGAAACCAAGGAGCCTTATAGTTTTTCACACTTCAGAATAATCACACAGCATCTCAAGGAAGAGGCAGGGAATACAAAAAGGACATTTAAGCTTTTTTTTCTCTTAAAAGAAAATATATTTATGCTAGTCGTGTTTGTTTTTACTCAACACAGCTGAAGTCAAGGCGGGTCTTTCTAAAAAGTTGAGGATGCTCGGAGATGTTTACTGTAAGCAGAGTTGTTCTCTCTGCTGTTATTATAAGAACAGAAATGACTACATTTAGCCCTGCGGCAGGAAGTCAAATATGTGTGTGTTTTTTTCTGTGTAGCCTGATGAAACCTCCCTCGACTTCTCCTCCTGTATCTTGAGACACGGCATTAAGAATGCCAAGGAGTTGGCTTGTGGTGTGTGTCTGCTCAACGTCGACTCTCGCAGCAAGGTTAGTGTTCACACACACACACACACACACACAGAATAACTAACTGGACACATGTTTACAAAAATGTTATGCTCATCCACACTGGATAACAACTGACATTTCTTTGGCTTTGAAACGTTTTGCAGAGAAAAGAAGAAAGCACTATTGGACGTCTGTTTAAACGAGTATGAGACATTTAACTGTCAAATATATTTCACTCCACTCTTTCCCACTGGGGGCCTCGGGGGCCTATTCTGCTCTTACCGACAAGCATGATGGGGGGGCCAAAGTGACAGGACTCACTTCTCTCCACTGCTCCTCTCCCACAGGCAAACAGCAGTTGCCTGTATAGACACACACTGTACAGCAGATGAAGGGAATCAGCCAAAATCACTTTGGGATTTATTGACCTGTCGCTAAGGCCCACCCCTCTTAGTTACCATTTCTATGCCTGGCAAGCTTTCCGTTTTCACAAGTCACATGTATCAAGTTTGAAATGACCCAAAAGCAGTTCCACTTTTCAAGCCAGACTTGATTTTAGTGAGAATAATGAAAGCTTTCGCTGGCAGAGCAGCCTTTGCTAGCTAGCTATAGCAGGGGTTTTTCCCCCACTCACATGATGAAAGGCTGAATCTGAGTGTCCCTGGTAAAGATTGGGCTTCCTCACCAGCTTATGACCGTAAGCAAACCAAGCTTCCTTGTGTTGCAGTGCAGAAATAGTTACTGTAGTTTGAGAAATGATAAAAAGTACAATCAGACGGCTATCAATGTTAGCATAATCAGGTTAATTTGCTTAGCATACACCGGTTGTCTCTAACAGGACCCTAATGTGCACCGCTTCAACATGAGAAGAAATGCAAGGCTTGTTGTGCCTTGTTAAGGTTGCTCAGATTTGATTGGACAATCACCGTAACGGATAATAATGTACACTCTTGAAATAAGTGAGAGAGGAGAACTGTCACTTTGGCACCTCAGGGGAGGTTGTTGCACTCTGGGATTGGTTCTTCAAGGTCACAAAGGTCATCACTCTGTCTTGGATGGGTTTCATTTTCTGTCCTGTCGCCTTTCTCTCCTGAGGTAACAGCTCACCTCCTTGCAGCTAACAATCATTGGTGTTTCTGATAAGTAGGGATGCTCCGATCGCCAATTTCGGGCCGATCCGATCGAGTGGGCGGGGCCTAAATGGAAGATTTAAACATCACTTTAAATCTTCCATTTAAAGTGATGTTTAAACTCAGTTAATGGGGTTCATTCACTGGAGCTTCCACAAACAACAATCAACTTAATTATTACATTCAAATGATGTACATTATTCAAGTTTACATTCACGTTGGATAATAACACGGGAGAAATGAGCGGAAGCGCTCTCTTTTCCTCTCTCCCCCTCTCTCTCTCTCCTGACAGCCTGTCAGTATCTCATGCAGCTCACTGATCTAGTAATGAGTGACCCGACAGTGAAGAATAAATATATTTATAATAACTAGTTTAGCTTGTTCCAGAGGTAGATAAAATAGCTAAGTGTGTTAGGTCTAACTCTTGTGTGTTTCGTCCCGCTTACCGGTCCGGCGGGCGGAGCTGCAGGATTTCTGCTTCACACACACGTTGCATACCGCTATTTTACTGTCTTTTTCGGACACCTTAAAATAATGCCAGACCGGTGAAGCCATTTTGGCGAGCTTGTTTTGCCGCACACAGAGAAAAGTGTCATGTATTTTACGTCATGCGATCGGCTCTCGCGATCGGCATGTTTAGAGAGCACCGATCGATTGGTAGAGAGTGAGTATCGGTGACCGATCGATCGGAGCATCCCTACTGATAAGTGTTCACTTATTATCTCCGGCTGGTGCAGTATGTGCAGAGCTGCTGTGTGTCTGCCTCCTCGCCTACAGAGGCTGTTTCATCGACATGGGCCTAATGGTGTTCTGGACCCTGAGGTTCAGAGGGCAGGACAGTGGCACTGATTGTTTCTCGCGTTCACTCTGCTGCTCAGCCAGGAGAGATGGATGGTCCAGGAGAGATATGGCTGACTGAGAGGCATCATGGATGCCAGCAGATGTGGCTTTCACATTAGTAATCATTACAATCGAGAATAGACCTGCACACACAAACACACTCTCTCACCTCCCACTCTGCATAGAGCCAGCCTGAAATGAATGCAGCTTTACTTTGTCTCTGTGCCACTAGCATGAGATTAATAAGCCATTTTCTAATTGCTTTTTTGGCAGAGCAACTGGTGAAAGCGAATATAAAAGCCAAGTGGAGAATCGCATCCCCTCCGAGTATAGTGAAGTGAAAGAAGAGCTCAGGCTGCTGCAGATGGTTGAAATGTCCTTTAGTGAAGAGGTAGTGATTTGTTTTCTACCAAAGGGACTGAGGGGAAGAGATGTTGATGTGCCATCAAAGAAATGTGCCCGCAGAACAGCTCAATAGCTCCTGCTTTATTTGTGCTGAGTATTTAAATCTTTGCTATAAATGTTTTATTCCTATTGTTGACACAAATGGTATTTCTTGTTGCTGTTGAACGGAATATGTTTTGGTAGCATCTGTGTCTCCTTCAGGTCAGGAGGCAGGAAGGAGCCGCCTGCAGCAGCAGCTTCCTCACAGTGATGGCTTTCTGCTAATGATGCTCCAGCGCCTCTGCTTCGTGATAAATGCTCATTTGAGCAATTAGGGAGAAGCACTGGAAACATTCAGCATTCCTTTTTATATACGTATATATATTAATGCAGGTTTCTGAAGTGCCTTGAGTGTTTGGATGGATTATTCTGTGTAACTTTTACTTGAGGAAGTATGGCAACAGTGCAAAGAGAAATATGGATCTTAGATTAGTTTGCAAACTGTTGTTGACCCGTCTCTGTCACACTCTGTTGATCTGTACCTCAGGGGACCAGGGTCCCAACACAGTTAAGTGCATGACTCGGTTAACGCCACGCCTCAAAGGATGAAATGGCAAAATGTCAGTCTGGAAAAGTTCAGTATAAAACAAATAACACATGACAAATCATTGTAGAATTTCTTGTTGGTTTTCTTTGTAAAGAATATTTGTTTGCTAATATGGCTGCTGATTTATTTCATTACTGCTTTTATGCTCACAGTGAAAGCATTGCAGTAATTGTTGCGGCAGGCTCGTACCGACAGCTGAAGGTCATCTTTGGGAATGTTAAAGTGAATCAGTCCAGAATTGGCTTTGGTGAAGAACATGTTAGTTGTGTCTCTTTTCACCTCAACAGTCTAGATGTGCAGAATGTTCAGATCCCTCTGTCATTAGTGTTCCGAAACAAAGATGTCATTGAAATGTTCTGTGTCTTGTTGAAGCCGATAATAACAGCGACAGAACAACATCTGACTATATTACATTTATATCACTGGCGTTCAGTCACTACTTTCAACATGAAACCGTTTCACAGGATCTGCTGGACATATTTCTGTTCCTGTTGAAAGCATTAAAAACTGAATCATGTTCACCCTTCAGTGTTAAACACAGAAAGTGAAGCGCCATGACGGTAATGGTGTCCTCTGAGCGAAGCCTTGCTGAGGAAGACTGCACTGATTTGCTACCATGAGCATACTCAACAGACATTTAATCAATATTTGCGATCAATCACGGCCAAATGGGTTGAATCTCATCTCTTTGAGAGGGAATATTAGAGTCCGGAGGGATAATAACGTGGACTCTTTCACGTTTTGACTCACAAATAAACTAGGAGCAGGTTGCTCTGTCATGCTGAAACAGCTGATCTGCTCGCTGCTCATTCTGCGCACACTTACCTTTGATCTGGGCTTTGCGTGCACATCCTGACTCCTCTTGCCCTCACAGACATTGATTAAGATCAATACCAGGAGGGTGAGGGTAACTATGCCTCGCTTATTTCCCATTGTTGAAGAATAAAAAGCAAAAAAGAAGATCTGGGTAGTTTTGATTATCATCTAACCTGGTAGAGCTGTTTGATCCCGGCTTACACGAACATGCAGCTGCAAAGGTCAGCTGTATTATTGAGGAAGATCTGACAGCCTTGAAAGTATGAATACTCTCATTGTGTTTGACAGTAGTTACTAGTGGCTGCATGTACAAAATCTGTCAAGTGAAAACTGAAAACACTTACTGCCACACAGGGGGAGTCTAGGAGGGAGTCTGAGTGGGTGAGGGTGAGGGGGGGAGAAGAGGTGAGAGAGGGGAAGGCTCTGCAGGGTGTCTTTGTGTTTCACTCTGCATCCCCCCCCCCGCTAACATGTTCTAGCTTTGGCTGTCGTCGGTGCAGGTTTGTGCAAACAAGTAGGCCAAGGCACACAAGAGCGCTGAAAAGGAAATTGCTCTGCTTATGTGAGTGTGAGAGAAAGGGAAAACAGAATCTGAGTGGAAATGTGTCATTGAGTCCAGTGTGAGGGAGTCCTTCATCCTGCAGACTGCTTTCAGACCGGTGGAGAGGCTCTGCTGTGTTTTGTATGCAGTTGTTGCTTTCTGCATGTGTCTACCTTCTCCTTCTGTGTGGGAGGCTATGATTCATTCCCCCTCATTTCACCAGGGATGCAAACTCTGAAGCAGCCCATCACACACATTAGGTTCTCCTCGTTGCACACAGCCCTCAAGTGCGGATCAGATCATCAAATTGTTCATTTTCTTTGGCTTTTACACAATTTGAGGTTTTCAGCCACAGAAGCAAATCGTATTATGGAGCGACACGTGTGGGGTGCCCCTGTGGAAATGTTGCCCTTTGTCTCCAGCTAAACAAAATGAAGTGAAGCATGTCTGCTGGTACACAGCACGGACAAACCTTCTGCAACCTTACTCTAAATGAAACAATGGCTAATCTTTCTAGCCAGTTTGATGAGCAGATATTCAATAGCATCAGACTCTTAACTGCTAAATAGAACTCTTTAGATAAATATGATGTTGCATAAAGGCAATGATAATCATGTTTATGTGTCAAGCCTGAGGTCAGCTCTACTACTGACACACTGTCCTCTTAACCTCAGCTGTTCTATTGCTACTAAAAGGCCTGATTAGGTCATTCAATGACTGTCTAAACTAAACATAATCTATTATTTCTTTATTTAGTCTTCTATTTGCCCCATCCCTATTTTTCCATAAATATAGCTCTGAAAAATTAAGAGACCGCTACAAAATTATTTCTTTCTCTGGTTTTACTATTTGTAAGTATGTGTTTGAGTCAAATTAACCTTTTTTTGATTGTATTCTATAAACTACTGACAGCCTTCCTCTGTGTTGGAATTCAACAGACACGGGAAAGGAATGGCTGCCATACATAAATGTAGAGATTGAGATTTAAGAAACATTTGGAGTTGTCTATTTATTTTTTCCAGAGCTGCATTTATTCTTCATCACTTGAAGTGTATGATTATTGTATTAGTTTTAAGATGACTAGGAACTCTCTTAGGAAACCGTCATTTATTTATATTTCTTCATTTTGACTCCTATAGGTTTTGAATTATTGATAGGCTTTGTATTTATTTTGCATAAACGTGACCCAGTACTTGCTTACAGCTTAATGCAGACGTGTATTTGTACCTATGATTTGTACACATGGTAAATATGATTTCCTTGTATTGCATGTAACCCATGTGTTGAAGCCCTTCTCTTGCCAGAGGCTGAGATGTGCGGCAGGAACATGGAGGATGAGCTGCAGTGCTGCTCTCATATGAACATGTGACTTTCTAGTATTCAAACATTAACCCTTGGGATGCATTAGAGGCTGATACTTCATTGTAACCCTATCCAGAATGAAATCACCACACGGTAAAGGCTTAGGAAAGTGTCTCATACCCTGCTTCTCCTCCTGTGAGCTCAGATGGGCTAATGCCTCTCTCTGATGCAGGTGTGTGATCTCTCACCCTTTCACTCTGACAGGCGTTCAACTCGGAGACGGACAACTTCAAGCTGCTGTACGGGGGCCACCAGTACCACGCCAGCTGTGCCAACTTCTGGATCAACTGTGTGGAGCCCAAACCCCCCGGCCTCATCCTGCCCGACCTGCTCTGAGCCCTGGGCTGCCATGGCAACGGGCAAAGGCTAATCAACACCAGATAGGTGGACTGACAACGCGCCTCAAACTGCACCAAGTCTGTATTTATGTGTTTTTATTCTGCAATCTCTCTTTCGTCACAACTAAGCTGTCCCAGATCTGGCCATTTGTTATAATGTAAAGTTTTGTATAAATATATATGTACCATCTATGCTGTTATTGTTACTCTTGAACTCTTTCAGAGAAATGTACTAAACATATGTCTTGTTTTCACTGCTGGAAAAAGGTCATTATTAATTGAATATCTTGAGTCATATTTATATTATTAGGTGTGCAATTTGATTAGTAACACTGGAGGAGGACTGCTGTAAACATCGTGAGTTTTTAATGTCACTTGTTGCTTTGGAGGATATTTATTCATGACTCTCTGTTTCCACTGAACCAGAGCTGTTGAATTATACACCTTTTATTGAACTTGAATTACATTTGTTGGTCGGGTCTGTTTGATGACACTCTGAAGCTGTTTTGGTTTTAATAAGACATTATTAAGACCTTTCAAACTGAGGCAGGTGAAGACCTTTTTGTTAATTGTGTTGAATCGACTGCTTTGAATGTTTTGTTGCACTCTTGAGGAGAATTAGGAAACTCTTTGGCTATTTAAATTATAGATTTTATGTGGGTAAAAGTTGGGATTTGGGGACCTGAAAGAAACCATGTTATTGGTTTTGTTTATTGTTGTTGTGTGCAACTAGAGCTGGAAGTTTGGAACAAGACCCATTCTTATCTAAACTACAGCACTACTAGCTACTTGTATATAACAGTGTCATGCTTCAGCGTTGTAATTATGACCATAGACTGTATATACTGCCTATGATTGCGACTAACTGTAATGTGAATTTGACGTAAATAAATATGCATACAGTTTAATTAAACTGTCAGAGATGATTATATCAGTCAGATTTAAAGTCTGCCTTCAATTAAAACTCATACCAATCACTGTAATTGAGCGTGTGTAAACAAAGATTATTAATGACATCCTTCCTTAGCAACCGTTGAAACGGCGTTCATGGGTCTGTGAGCAATACTCTGATTATTAAGAGCACGGGGAGGTCTCCAAAAACAAAACAAAGAAAAGCGTTTGCCTGAATGTAATAATAGTTTCTAGAATACTACAGCTTTTTAATCCTGATTTAAATAAACAAGACATTTAATTAGCTAACAATAGAGGCTCTTTTTGTGGGAAGTATTTTCCTCCTATTTCCACTCTGTATGCTAAACTAAGCTAACCAGCTTTTGGCAGTAGGTTTACATCGAACATACTTTGAGAGAGGTATTGATGTCTTATCTTACCAAATAAAATGTTCTATATTTTCCTTTACACTTGACATCAGCTGTGTTTATTTGCTTTAAAATAAGTATTGTGTTTTTTGACTCATTTATTGTGCATTTCTGTTTTGAGCATTACAGCTTTGATAGGAGTCCTTTCACTTTGACATTATTCTACTGCTCTTTGAGAAACATACTCTTCACAATGCATGAATGTCCCCTCCATCACCCCATAATGTACTTCCTCTCTGGCCTCATCTCCATCAATTTGCAACAAAATGGAATAAATTCCTCTTCGACGACACTGCAGGGGCTTCGCTGGCGGTTGAGCTCGGCCAATCACATGAGGTGTCTCGGGGCTCTGTGAAACTACTCTCATTATCCTTCTCACACTTGTGTTCAGGTGTGCTCTCCAACATCCAATTTATCTCCGGCCGTTCCCTAATCCATTTCCTGCAGAAAATGGATTCCTCTACTCTCACGGTGAACGCCGGGATTACAGAAAATTACAAATGCTGAAATCAATTACTGAATAGAGCTGTTTAATTGGAAATGCAGACCGCCCGGGCCTGTCATCTTTACATCTATTGTTATCATTATCACTCTGGGGAGAAGCCAGATTGAAGAGATAGCCCACTGTGCGGTATCGACTGCTGCTCTTTGGTATTTCACGCCCATAGTCGATCACAATATTGATTAAAAACAGCTGCTTCAACATTGCCTTTATCTTGTGAAAAGAGTTGCTTCTTGCTTGACTGATAACATTGCAATTGAACCACATATTTGATATGTTTTCTTTTAAACCTGCTGTTTTAAGATATTACAAGATTCCAATTAATCAAGATATAATGATCAAATGTACTCACCTATATTCATTGTTTGTCTTTCCTGGGATTTGCTGACAATAGTGAAACTAATCTTTAACACAAGAAACAATGAAAAACAGTTCAAAGAAAACACGAAAAGGTGACACTTGTTTCCCCACACAACAGACTGTATGAGCCAACGTCTCCCACTGTGCTTTAGATGATCCTTATCTGGCTGGAAGGCTTTTTTTGAACTCTTTTACTGCCATATTTTCTCTCAGTTATGGGTTCTTTATCACTGCTTCAATTGGACAGTTTCATGATCTATATTTGTAGCACTAACAGCATTTACAAACTCTCCTCTGGGACTTTTATTAAGGTTTCCAAGTGCTGCTGGCATCCAAATAATCATCATTCTTCTCTTTGTGTCTGTTCCCTACAAAAATAAGCCAAATAAGTTTGTCAAATTATAACTAGAACTAACGATGGCGGTAAGCCTGAAATGGTAGAAGCCGTGAAAGTAGCATGTTAATATTAATAACTGGCTTTGTGCGTATAGCCTTGTTAGATGGAAATGCAGGATTTACTCATATTGAAACGGGAGTAGTGCTGTAGCGCTTGCCGATTATAGTGAATAATTAAAGGCCGTATAATTTGAAGCCGAGAGAAGCCCTGATTCAGTCATTCATTGCAGCTAAAGCAGATGTTCATATTCGCTTTTTGTGATTGAAAGCTGCACTGATATGCAACACTGGACTAGTGCTGATATGATTACAGACATGTTCTATTAGCCCCCATTTTATTTATTAATGCGATTTTCCCCAAATAAAATTTCAATTAAAATATTTGTTGTAAAATCAATGAATGACCCATCAGGTATCAAAAAGGTGTACCACATTAAACACATGTATTCTTTTTTTAGCTTTTGGTTGTTTATGTATATGTTGGGATGGAAATAAGCAATTTAAATAACATTTCTGTGCAGCTCACATGTCTGTTGCCTCCTGTTGAGTTGCTGCTGTCTTGACTGTCATCCATTCAAACACAATCAGTTGTTGGTTCTGCTCGGCCTCTGAAGCCCACCGTGATGCAAAGACCTCTGCCTAATGCTTTAATGATAGATGATAATATGCTGCTGCTGCTGCTGAAGGATGTGTTCACTTTTAGCGTTGACCATGCCTTGAAAACCTCTCATATGTACCCAAGTTTTAAATATGTATTAATTAATAGTATGTGAACTGTAGTGCATCATTTGGTCCTGTCGCTTGCAGTGCATCTCTGCTGTGGTCAGACTGATGTCTCTCTGGGTAATGGCATTCATTGTATCCTTCAGAAAGAGTGGGCACTAGCTAAATGAAGCTCATCAATAATATGCCTGCTGCTCTGTAGAAACGGACATTGAAAATGAATGACAGGAGGCTTTTTGACATCTGAAAAAAAAAACTCGGGTAATAGAACGAACACTAAGAGGCACTTGGCAGAGAAGATGCTGCAGTGTGTTTGTGTGAAGAAATCTCAGAAAGCAGTTTTAAAAGAAAATAGAAACACATTTTGTTCTTAGTATTTTAATACGACTATCTTGGGGAAAGAAAACATTAGACAGATTACAGATCATCTGTATCCTACTTAATCACCCCTAAACTTGTTTTTTTTAATATTGTAATATGACACGTAATACATTATGGCATTGTTAAAAAAAACATTGTTGCACTGATCTCTCTGTTTCTGAAAATGTCAACATTACTGCTGCGTTATGTGAGATGACCACACCCAACAGTGATGTTTTACTGCAGTATAGGTAAGAGTCATGGTTAATTACCATACAACCCTAACCCCATACAGTCATATATGTCATAGTCATGTGATAAAAGGATGTGAGATTAGTGCAACAGAAAGAAAATAAATTCATGATTTTAAACAATCATATAATCATTTATCGCTTGTTTCAGCTTCTAAAACGTCATAAATTGCTACATGTTCTCTTATATCTTTTGGACTGTTAAAAACAGACAACTTTAAGAGGTCATTTTAAATGTGTCACATCAACCACTTCACGTAGCATTGCATTATCTGAAGCGTGTGAATTTGCTCTGGACCACACACATACAGAAAAAGTAGTCCTTGTTTGGTTTTTGTGAAGAGCTAAATCTGGCAGCTAGGATACATTTTAATATGCTACTGGTAAACAAATAAGTGGCTGTTGTTTAGAGTCATATTTATTTGGTTGGTTTGTGCTTTTTGGTTATTTTCCAAATGTGCAATGTTTTACTTCTTCAATTATAGCTTAACTGTGAATATTACTAGTATTTAGTTTCTTTCACAAGCAACATGAAACACAATCCTGCATAAGGTTTAGTGTTTTCCAACTGATCTACTGGTGGCGGTAATGTGCCACAAGACGCAGCAAAGCACCAACAGAAGCGGGGAAAAATAAGACTGCTATCACATAAACATTGATGTACACAATGCTGGATTTAAAATACATAAAACTCGGCTTTACATATCTTTTACACAATATGTTTGATACAGAATTTGCCACTCAAACAGGAAGATAATGTAACATCAAGCATGAATCACTGCATCTTTTACTTTTTTTGTGATAATATTGGTTTAAGTCTTGATAACAGGGTGTAATGTGATTTAATGCAGTATTCATTTTTTTAAAGTGCACAGTAATTATGGATTTTGGAACGGGACATGCAGCAAAGTAAAAATGTCAACCAACAGCAGATTTAGGACCTTCAGCTTCTGACATCCCTCGGCAAAAGCGGTGGGATGAAAAATAATCTTCAAAGCATCTATCATAGAGCTACCAGTTCCCCTAGAGGCGGCATATATATATATATATTATTATTTTTTAAACAGCATCAAAAAGCACTACAATAACATAGTGTGTTCACAGGATGGAACAGTCAACCCTGTGGTACACAGGACCTAACCTTTGACTTCTAGATATTCACCTTTAAAAAAGGCAGGTATAATAACATCTTTAAATATTCAGTTAAAGAATGCTTTTTGTTCCTCACAGTCATTATATTCTAATCAAATCATTTGTCAATATTTTTTCTGTACACGTTAAATAAATGCTACCATACATTGAGAGAATGCTGCTGCCCTTCACACTAAAGAGTACTGCAGAACTGGGACAACACCACCACACATGACATCATTACGCCAGGAACAGGACTTCGTCACTTCACTGTCAGAGCTGCAGAGCTCAGAGAACAGCTTCACCGAGGGCTCATCCTACAGTGGAACTAAAAAGAAGGACCAGGAGATAGACAGCACCGATATCCACGCTGACATTGTTGTGGTACTGATCAAGAGTCACATTGTTCCTGCCCAAAGACTACATCGAGGTGACTGGTTGGAACAGCCTCAACCATCAGTGTTTGGTTAAAAAGTCCCTCCATCCCAAGGCCACCAGAATTCTTTAAATAAGCCTTAAACAGATGTACGCTTACACACGTCTCACTTAGCCGGTCCTGAACACACATGAAGCTGCCGATCAGGAGGGCCAAAGGGCTCAACTTCACTTCCTCCTCGTTCTCCACACTGTGGATCTCACAGGCCCCAGTACGGAGCCAGGCTCCTGCGGTCCCTCTCATAAACATCAGGTATGACCCCGTAGGGCGTCTGCACCATCTTTACGGAGTTTCTACCAAACAGCTTCCTCTCGTACTCGATGAGTTGGCGCCAGAAGCCGCCGTTGGGCCTTATGACGGGGCGGCGGGCTTTGACCCAGGCGTGGGCCTCGGCCAGAGAGACACGGTGATACTTCATGAGGTACGCCAGACACAGAGAGGCGGAGCGGCTCACCCCCGCCGCACAGTGCACCAGCACCGCCCCTCGCTTTCGTCCCACGCTGTGGATCTTATCAGCCACGCTGTCGAAGTACAACGAGAGGGGGGAGTGGGGCATATCGGCCAGAGGGACCTTTACATACTCCATGTGAGGCCAGTTGAAGTTGGGGAGCTCGATGGTGGCGTTGACCACACAGGTGATGCCTTTGGACAGCAGCAGGCTGCGGTTGGACGCTACGTTCCCTCTGCTGAGGAAGAGGTTGGGGGTGATCTGGGCGATGCTCCCCAACAGGCTGCCGTTCTCAGACAGGAGCCGCGGCACCAGAGTGGGCACCATGGAGCTACGATGGTGGTGGTGGTGGAAGAAGCCTTGGCTGCGGGAACCCATTGTGAAATCAAGAAGGCTTCGAGAAGGATGGAGAAATTTTTTTTTTTAAAGCAAAATCTTCAGCAGCTCAGAGTCATAGCAGTGCAGCGAGCCAGATCCTGTAACACACAAACAGATTTCACTTTCAATCTAAATAAAACATTGTTCTGCTTCTCTGTAGACCGAGCACTTCAAACACTTCACAAGGAAGAGTAACAACATCACTGTTTGGAAGCAAAACAAGTGCTGAAACAATAGTTCTCCAATCCTTTTATTTGGATGGCATTGTGTTGAGGCAGTTCCAGGACGTGTTACTCATCAGCCTTTAAACTTAAAAACCCCAGGCGTACAAAAGAGTTAAAGATTAGACACAAAAGTTGACTAATTCAAAAACATTCGGCTGGGACCCGCTGTTCCAGTCTTTCATCAGAGCGTTTCATGAATCCACAGATGGAGGAACATTTTTTTTATCTCAGCTAGAGAGACTCGGCCATGTGGGTGCAGACCCCCCATGGGCATGCAGATTACATCTCTCTCCTGTCTGTGCTTTTGAAGTCGTTTTGGATGGAAATAAACAGCAGGTTGGAAAGTAATTATACACGATATTATCACACCAGAGTGTGCTGATAGAACACATCATTATAAGCACTTTGCTAATATGTATATAATTCAATTGTTCTATATCCAAATAGGGATAGCTTCAGTTAAAGATGCAACAGATGCAACATGAAGACGAGAGATCTTGAATAAAAAGATATTATGTGCATCGTCACCTGACATTTCTAGCTTTTTTCTGATAGAAACAGCGTCCCGTGTTAACACTTAGTTATCAGCACAGCGGCCACAGCTCCGGGCGATACTTCTAACACTGTTGCTCGCTCGTGTCATTCGTCATTCACACCTCGCGCACCAGTCTGGCCGGCAGGTCTTTCATTTTCTGTTACATTCTAGCAAACAAGACACTTTGAACTAGAACTCAACCTGCAGAAAAACAACCACCTGATCCCCTGCTGTCACCTGCAAATACACAGCCGAGACAGTAATTGCCCCTCCCCATGTGTCTAAAAATATCATTTTTGAGTACCTTTTTAATTAAAATGTTCATAAGTAGATATGGCTTTGTTTTAACGGGTTGAAAGACAAAAAAGTCGGGGACAACATGCAATGCAATGCTGTAAAAACATAAAAAACATATTGGTTTTTTTCACCCTTTTGATGATTTTCCATGGTGTGGAGCTTCCTTGCTTCATTGTCACCTTCCTTCCTCTGCACTCTCCTCTATTGATCCCAGCTTTGTCACCTCACCATGTTCTTCATCTCTTTCTAACAACAACAAAAAGGATCAAGGCTGAAACATCACTCTCATCCCTCCTTATTCAGAAACAGTTTCTCTGGCTTGCTTTCTGTTTTCAATCCCCCTGCATTCTGAATTGGTTGGCACGATCCACCTTCCTATGCACTGTCGTCACTGGTTACGAGACAACAATTACAGTGACTCAGAGAGATGAGTGTTACCACAAACCACATCAGAACTGATTTTTATTTCTTATGTGACAGTAAATGAAGTGCTCTTAATTCTTTTCTTTTTTTTAATGAAGGATAACAGAGCATTTAAAGACATTAACAGGTTTGAATGTTAGCAAACCTAATGATTAATGGATTTATCTAGAAAGAGGTGACTTTTTGAAGAAAAGGGTGCATTTAGAAGTTTATATATTTCCGCAAATTGACTTACAACAACATATACAGCTGTGTTGCTGTTCTTTCCCTTTGAAAACTCCTATCATCTTGGTTGTTTTTACAAATGTAAAAGGAAAGAGAAATCAATAAGAACATGCAGAGGGATCTGAATCTGGATCAGAGTCTGGTACCGGTCTACCATAACTGTGACATTTAGCTTGAACAAAGTCGATGCAATGAATGCTTCATAAAGATAGATAACATAAACCATGGGCTGACAGACAGTACAAACTCTGTTGCTACAGCAACCCACTGACCACAGTAAGATTGTCAACAGATAGATGAGGAAGATAGGAGAACCACATAATCCCCGGCCCTCTCCCAAATGCTGATGCACCACAGAGGTGAGATTTCCTCAACATGGTGTTATTTATACCACAGGCAGGGCAGGAGAGCGGCTGCAGGGAGCGGGGGAGGGAGGATTATGCAGAGAGAGGAATCTACTGTAATGTTGGAGAAAGGGATGAGGAATAATAAAAAATAAAAAAACACGAGAGACAACAGATAAATCATCCCCCATGTGCATGTTTTTTCTTCTTCTCTAAATATTACAAAACAACTGCCCACTCAATCATGCTGTCAACAGGTGGCCACTCCACGCAAATCTGCTTTCACACATCTCCGTCTCTGAAAGAGGCCTCTGCGGTCCGGTTACACCACCACTAACACAAATAGGAAACGCGACCCACCTGCAGGAAAATTAGAACGGCAAGACCTGAAGGCAACCCTCACCTCACGGTGAAACATCAACTCAACCGGACCTTAGCTGAACTGGACTTCTCAAACCAAAACCGAATATTTGTATTCAGTGTTAGTGATCTCTTAAAAGGGAGCCTCTGTAATTGTGAGAAGAAAATGAGTAACATGACACAACAAAAATGACAAAACAAGTCGACTGCAAGGGGTTCAACAGAGGGCAAGCTCAAAATTAGTTCAGGGAAAAATTCTTCTGGTCACCGGGACAGGGTTTGGCTTCGGCACCTCTCTGCAAACAGCAGCGACTGCACAATGTTACCCCTCAGGCACAAACATGAGAGTCTGACACACAGGGCCATGTGTTGTGTAGTGAGAGATGGTGAGTGCACACATGTACAGTAAAGCACACCAAACAGTGTGGCTGCTGCACATACAAATTATTCCTCTTCTCTTTGTTTTTTTCCAGGCATATTACCAGAGACGTTTATTCTGTGTGAGCCAGTATCATTGCAGCCGACAGATGAGGCGGATGAATGGAGTGACTCCACTTTAAACAATGACACAATGTTCAATACCTTTTTAAAGACTTGTTACCTATAATTGGTGCTACTGGAAATGAATATAACAGAACTGAAACCACTTTGGTTCCATTTTTTCAAATTAATAAAATATTTTGTATTATTTATAATATTTTTTAAGCAAAAAGGCCCAAAAATGTAAACGGGTCATTCCAGAATTGGAGGACAATTTAGACACCAACATTTTTGAAAAATGAACCTTTTATTTTATAATTTGTTTTATGTATTTAGGAAAAACAGATAATAAACCATCAAAAAAAGTGATTTGCCCAGCTAGGCATCAAATGTATATTTTCCAATGAAGAATTACCCCTGTTACTCTAATTATAGTAACAGGGTTGAAAATAAATGCTAATTTGAGCTTTAACCTCAGGAATTATTGCTAGATGTAGCATGTACTGTAATGCTACTTTCATGGCAAGGACAAACTTGGATATCTAATGCAAGAAAGATAACTTTGAAATGAATATGCTTTATTCTGATAATATCAGTAACAGGGTTGAGTGGGTCAGAGTGCCACACTCTTTTAAGATTGAAAAGATTGTAAAAATATGAAAAATAAAAGAGAGGACTTAGTTTTGGTCTACCCATGGCACATGGCTTGCTGATGTCCTTTCCACTGTGTCATCTGACTTACAGCTTTTTCACTTCCTCTGCCAATCTAAAAAGGTTTGGGTAACAGGGTTGAACGCATGTTGAGGGACACACCTTCTGTGCAAAATTACTGTTATTTAAAATATGTGTATGATTTAACAAATTGATTTTATCATTACAAGAGACATATATCAATAGAATAATACCAAAAAAAGTAAATCAAATCCCTATTTTAAATGTTAAATTTGACATGCAAGTTGGTCACCAAGAAGCGGGGACAAGAGAAAAATGCCATTTAAGGGGATGTTCGAGAGCTATTTGATAATTTAAATAATATTTTGAAACCACTTTTTCTACAACTTTATATACATTTTGTCTCAAGACAAGTATGTTTAACACAACAAGTGCATGTTTTAGCATTTTGGGCATGGATTATTAGATTTTCTATATGGGGGACATGAAATGTCCTCCAATTCTGGAATGACCCAAACGCTCTAGATTCTTTAATGCTTTTTTTGACATATTTGATATGAAATTGAATATCTTTGAGATTAAACTGATGGTCAGATAAAATAAACACTGTTGAAGACAATTGGACCACATAAAGTGTATATATGTAAGGAAATTGTGATCCAGTGTTTCTCAAGGTGTCAGTTGAATCTCACTCTGTCCTTGAAGATAATACAAATTAATTGGTATTTATTCAGCTTGTATGCGTAACGTTAATGGATCATAGCAGGTCTAAAATAAGTCTGAGAGGCTCCATAACACCACCTTTCTATGTCCATGTTCTGGCCATGACAAAGGCCAAAATGGTGCCTGCAACAGACTGTTGCCTAAGGGTTATTTTAAGTATATTAAATTGTCGGAAATGCCTTTTGCTACTTAAGTAGTCACCATAAAACCCAGTTTAGAAAAGTGAGGAGTATTCAAAACAGTACATAGTAATACAATTGTTTTTCCAGATACTGTATTTTAAATTGCAACAAACTCAAATGGTCATTGAGCATACATTCACAAATGTACACAGCATTTTTTTGGCGGCTGTGTCTACTAGAATGCAAGATTAGCTTTCGACACACACATGATACCCGTAGGCTCGCCTGGCGAAGATAACTATGACAGACCTGTTTACAGGACATTATGTATCTTCCTCAGGAAAATAAATGCAGTTGTTGTTTTGCAAACTAAACAAATATTTATATATTTATTGATATAATATATTAGCTTAAACTTCACGAGTTTGATCAGTTATGATCTATGGTTATGATGAGCTATTGCACGCGCTGCTTGTCCTCGTGCGCGTGCGTTAACAAGTTCAGGTTTCGTATAGATCATTATTGAGTAAATTATTAGTATTATTAGTCTTAGTTTGAACAACACGATTAAATTAAGCGACCTGTCGTCTTTAAACAGAAGTGTGGCAGGTGCGCTCGTTTCCTCAATTTCATCCATTTTACATCAGGAAACTGAACCGGAAAATAAATGCCTATAGCCTCCAACATACTTTAATTATAAACCATTTAAGTTATTTTTGTATCTTATTTGAGGTAAAAATGACAGAAATAAACTGCCTCCATCAGATATAAAACTGAATTTACCAGTGTACACTCAGTCGTGCGGTGATGGAGGTTTTTTCAAAGCGTGTTCTCCGCCAGCATCAATCCAGAGAACTGCTCTCACACTCCGGACATTCACCTGCAGTCAGTCCGCTCTCACAGACATTCAGCGGGATGGCGACAGGCCAGGGGGCGGGAAACTAACCGCAACAGTAGCGACACAAAACAACATAACGTGAAAGTCAAAAGAAATACGAGCCATCAGTTCATCCTCCTGCTTCTACAGGAGCGGCGTACACACAGGGAGCCTATGTATGAGGAGTGATCCGTGCCACGCAGAGGAGGAATAGGAGGAGGAGGAGGAGGAGGAGGAGGAGGAGGAGGAGGAGGAGGAGGAGGAGGAGGAGGAGGAGGAGGAGGAGGAGGAGGAGGAGGAGGAGGAGGAGGAGGAGGAGGAGAGAGTAGCTTATTTTCTATTGGAGGATGCACGTGTTAAGCCTGTAAAGAAGCCTTCATGAGCATTGCAAAAAAAAGGTCATGCAGTGTTTAGGCAAGGTCAGTGTTTAGGCAAGGTCAGTGTTTAGGCAAGGTCAGTGTTTAGGCAAGGTCAGTGTTTAGGCAAGGCCAGTGTTTCACCATACCTCTTTTGTGTGAAGATTCCCAACATTGAAGATTTACTTTCAGGGACCTCCATCTGAAAATCTTGAATTGTTGGATATCATTAAGACCAAGTAGGCTCCTATGTGCAACGTATGATCAGAGTTTGTCTTATTCACATTGGTTCACCTTTTTAGTGAATTAAAGAATGGAAAACTATTCCCCACTTTTAAGGGGACCCAATGGCACTACTTCAAGGACCCCTGGGGACCCCATACCCCTGGTTAAGAAGCTCTCTCAAAAAAAGTATTGTTGGAATGCAACTACAGAACAACAGATCTCTTTACCACCTGAAAATCTGACTATTTCTAAAATATATTTCTGATGGTTTTATCTCAAGAGTAAGTGGAGCATTATCTATCTATAAGTTAGCACACTATTTCAGCAGGGCTGCTAATCAGAAAAATCTCCCATTCATTTGTTTAACGGTTGTATTTTCGATTTTCCATAGCTTTTTTCTACTCTTATAGGTCTGTTACTCTGTTGGATAATACCAAATCACCTTTATTCACTATGTTCTTGCTTAAAACAGTTTGAAACACATCAAAATAGAGAATATCTTGCAATGGTATTACCAACACATCCTCACTCCCAGGTCGGCCTATGTTGACGTTATGTCAAGTCCCCTGTGTCGGCTTTTTTCAACGCAAGGGGGGCCTTAGCGTCCATTTTCAACGCAAGGGGGGGCCTTAGCGTCCATTTTCAGCTTTCCGGGATGTCCATATGCTTCTTTGGACGCTCATGGAAGCACGGCATTCGTTTGTGTCGGCTGCCCTTAAAGGCAATGTGAGCGTCCATTCTCATTGGATAACGGAGAATTGTACACCCGGAAGTAAGTATTCCCCTTACTGTCGATTGATTTTACGGTGATATCTGCACTACTCATCGATTAAAAAACACCAGATTATCCTTGTTAATTTCACAACATTGATTGGTTTAAATTGTGTGCAATGCTTTTGTATTTTTCCCCTTCGATTCGGAGAAACAAATATTTTTTCGGAGTAAAGGATGGCAGAAGACACTACACTACCCAGAATCCCCAGCTATCGTTTGGACTACACCATGTGCTCTGTTTGACGTCACGTGATCTTCAAATTTCTCCCTGTAGAAAAAAAAAACATGGCCGAACTTCGTTTTATTCTCGGTGGAAAATGCCTATTTTAAAGTTAGTTTGGCCATTAAAATGCGTTTTGATGTCATTTGATGCGAGAAATATGAGTTGTTATTTCAGATTATGTGTGCAGTGGATGTACATGATCTTTAGTTTGCTAGTTATTACGAAGATTACTTCAGGAAATTGCGTCCATAACGTTTTCATTGTTACCAAGGTGGTTGCTAGGGACGCTGCTATCGATATTATTTCTGTTATGTTGTGTAACTGTTTAATGGTGTTATCTTTATTGCTACCCCCTTCCCCGTCAATGTATAGTGTTGATCCACATCGCAAACATATTAGTTTAACAAAATCCGCATCTAAAGATAACCTACGTTATTTCCCCCTGTGCAATTCCAGTCTCACATCTCAGAGCACATCGTCATTAACAAATACCGGAAACAGACCGAAAACATTTTTTAAAAATAAAATAATACTTTATTCCGAGTGTGCTTGCTTTTCTCTTTGAAAGTCATCACATACCGGCATTGTAATACACGGTTCGGCTGCATTAAATATTACATATCTGCCGTAGTTCTGTATTTATAGAGCCCTGATGAGAAGACTTCTAGACAAACATGAGGTACTGAAAACGTGACGTGGATCATAAATATATCAGCCATTAAACAACATCTTACATTTATGTTCACACTATACGTCTCCTTGCAGTATCAACACTAATTCGGCTGACTTTTATATTTGATCCAATTGGTAGATAGGCTGTATTTACACCATAAAGGTGCACAGCTGATATAAAGGGACACCTAGTGGTTAAAGCATGTTATTGAATGTCATTATTTTTATTATTAGATATTAATAGGATCCCTATAAAGTATATTCATTACTCGTTATTCTCTACTAATAGTTAATTAAAGACTGTATATAATGACTATTTTGCACATCCCTTTCAAGATGTTCTAAGGTTTATTGACATATCATATAGGCCCACACAACTATGGTGTATAGTTATGCATTGAATGAAAAACTTGGGTCGCAGGTTCCTCAATAGTGCATTACAAGACATCTATCAATATTTGTGCATACCTCCAGCAATGTTAACTATGTTGAAGCACTTATTTTATATTCATCTATATGCTCACAACTTTGAGACCCTCAAGACTGCAGCAGGGCTATCTGTGCAGATTTGTGTGAATATATCCATGTATAAAACCATAATTAGACATGCCTTCCGAAGTCAATCCTATTTCAGAGGGCTCCTGAGGATGATATTATGCTAACCATAAACCCATGGCCCTTGCCTCAGAGTCACTCCTAATTACATAGCAAATTCAATCAACTGGAAACAAGCGGCAGAAGAACCAGGTGGTGCAAACTGGTACAATGCTTTAGACAAATCTTCAACGATCAACTTGAAATATTATGCATCAGATAATAAGAACTGATTGATTTTCACCTGATATTTTTTTAAGAGACGAAGTGCTGGTGACAGAAAATGTCTGTAAACTATGTGAAAAAAAGGGATGGTCGATGTTTAAAAAAGGTGGTAACCTTGAATGTAAAGAGTTAAATGTGAGATAGAGAGATAAGAGGGATACAGATAGCGCTGCAGGCTGGGGAGACAAAGACATGGGGTTCAGAGTGAAATGTCAAATGAGTCAGAGGCATTCTGGGAAGACTCTCCTGTTTAATATGGCTGCCATGGAGGCTGAAAGTGTACAATGACAGCATCGCCGTAGTAACAAGCACCTGCAGCCACGTACAGAAGGAGCTGTCTGCTCTGAATGAGGCGGGGAGTGACATTGATTAAGCCTGACCGCCTGTAACACAAGATAACTGATGGTACAAAGCGAGCCACAGTGATTTAACCGTAACATCCTTTACACATCCCTCAAACCTACAGACACTCAATAACCTGCACTGTTCAGAAATGACACTTTCTGATAGGCAGCAGAGATCCTTCAATCCATAAAGTAGATTATGAGCACAGAGATCCCATTCAGACTCTTACAGAAGGATTGCTGAAGATAAACAGGTGACTATCTGGAAATATTGGCACAAGCTAAGCGTCAACAGATTATCAGTGTTATCTGATGATTAGTTTATGAATGATTATTAAACTAAACATGCTGTGTACATCTTTAAGATGATCTCTGCTGGCTTGTAACACTAGAGTAGTGTATTTCAGTCTGTGCTGATGTGTGTGACCGGCGGGGGGAGGCGCGGTATAAGATGAGGAGACTTGATGCTGGACCAAGCGTGCAGGGGGAGGCAAGAGAAGGGGGAGGGGGTGAGAATGGGTCTAAATAAAGTTGCTGCTGATCCCACAGGTCCCCGTGGCTCCAGCTGTGGCAGCGATAAATAGACATGATCCAAGTGTTTGCTGTGGCAACATGTGAGAATGGCAAAAGAGCAGTGGCAGAGTGCAGCATGGAGCACCCCGGCTCTGATCAGTGCTGCTCTGACATCAAACACAAAAGACCTGAGACGCCTCACACACACACACACACACACACACACACACACACACACACACACACACACACACACACACACACACACACACACACACACACACACACACACACACACACACACACACACACACACACACACACACACACCCATCCAATCAACACCCAATCAGCTATCCACGAATAAGGAGACAGAGGAGACATCTGTTCCTTTTATTCTTATTGAGTCCATTTATTTGCTCCCTTCCTTCCCTGATAGTGAGTCAGTGACAGCACGTACACAGATGGGAGGGGGGGGGGGGGGGGGTTGGGGAGGCTCTGGTTAGTCACGACTCCTCTGCCCAGCAAATGAGCACGAGCAACAGGGCGAGCTCTGCCCCCCTGCCTTCCCCCCTCTCCACCGCCACTCCTTCTCCCGGATTTCAGCATGAAACCAAGACTGTTGCCATGGTCACCTCTTGTGTTGATGGGTTGACCTCTGTGTTAATCACTACGCCGTAATAATTGTGAACTTAAGCAGAGTGAGCGGCTCACTTGGAGTTTATCCTTTTAAAGGTATGGGATTAGTTTTGTATCATAAAGATAAACCACACTTTCTCAGAAAAAAGCAAAACTATGAGTTTAAAAGAAAAAAAACTGAGTCAAGCAAAAATAAAATAAATCAACAAATCATTTGTGTAATCATGTAAACTATAAGTATTTTTTCTTTGTTTTAACATAGGTTTTTGTTTGCAGTTCTTGTTTCTTCTTTCTCAATGATCAGACTTTTGCTCTCGCTGCAGCTTTCTCTTTTGCGCTCCTTCACTTTTTGTTTGAGATTCTAACACAAAACCTCCCAGGTGGGCGGGACTTTCAGGGGTGCGTCCCCATTGGCTGCTCAGTTTTTGAGTTACAGCCCAGTCCTCCAGCGATTGTACAGTGCAGGCAGCTGCGGTGCGGTAGCTGCCTGAGCGTGGATAGAACACCCCCAGAAGAACCAGCATTTCAATTATTATAATACTACAAGTGAAAATATATGTAAGTATTGATCATTTGTGCTGTACTATACGGTCTGTTTCTTTATTGTGTTAAGTGAGAAGTAAA